GAGACTGTCTCAGTTAAGCGTCGCATTAATAGGGTAATACACATATATATGTGTAATAGGGAGGAAACAGCGAATGCTAAAAACGAATGCGACAAGTACAATCATATTTGACATATTTTAGCTTGAGAATTAGGTTTACGTTTAGATTATCAGGGAAAAAAGCAGGGGCCCCTTGCAAGTTCTGATTGTTATCAAATGTTTCCTCGTTTATCTCATCCGTAATGCTTGCTTCTATTTACTACGGAATTAATAACTTAAACAGCCTAAACGACGGCTGATTAATAGACCAGCATGTCTATGGCACCCGGCATGGCAATGGCACCCGAAAAACGCGTCAACTACGAAACGTAAGTAATTCACTCTGTATACCATGCTAGGTCTATATGTAACTTCTAGATTAGGTAGGATCAAGCAACGAGAAGGATACGAGATTTCAGATGGCTTCACCATCTCTCTGATCGCGGAGGACTTGTAGCTTACTTTCACTATAGAGTTACTTTTATCGTTGTCCGTAGATTATTCAGCCAAGCAATGTAGAGGAGACGACATCGACACAAAGAGCGAAATTGTGCCAGTTTTACGAAACTTTATTTATTTGACATTCCTCATTCATTGAAACAACATTTACAGGCGGATCAATTGAACCTCTATCGGTTAGCCTAAACTATTTTTACACACACAATTTACATACAATTATATAAATGGTGGAAACATCTTATGACAAGGTGGGCAGCCTATAGAGTAGTATGATGTTGCAACAAAGAGTAGATCTAGCGCTATTTTTTTATTCCTTATTCTTTTATCCTTATATGTTGCAAGATTCTTGTAGCTATTGCATTTTAGTCATTATAACACGGTGTTATAAAAATTATATACTGTTTTATTTATGAGCCCTCTAGTATACATACTGTCGCCGTCGATACTGGAGCCGAAAATAAAATGCTTCATAAGAGGAATCGATTATGATTAGATTGAACGACTGGACCTTATATGACTCGCTAAAAAAGGTCGACGCTTTACACTGTTGGCATGAGGATGTCAAGCATAGAAATTTAAGTCTGAGAATACAATTGAAAACCTACACGTTATTACGTATACGCATAGCAGATGGCATGCTTTGCGTGCTAGCTTGATTGAACGCTTGACAAAATGTAGCCTTTCTTGATAAGATCCCTTAATTTCTGCATCAAACTATTTCGTATATACGCTGAACCAAGCATAATCTATCTAGAGATAGGGAACCCCCTGGAAAAGGCTTTGCATACATTTACAAAACGTGTGACACAGAAGTGCCCATATTATAGAAATCTAGTTTTACATTTTCAGACTACTGATAAAAATACGTTTATAGGAATCAAGGAAATAGCGTACATGAACGAAACATCGTTTAATATTATCGCGACAAAAACCAGAGCTTAAATCAATGTACGAGGGCGAATGATGCATAGATTAATCGAGGTTATCGCGTATACTCCATATATTATCTATATATATGAAATATTACTAAACGTTTTCATAAAGAGCGAATATATATATAGGCATGAAGTAAAAGTATTTTTTTATGTTTTAGAGCTGAATCCGCTCTTCACTGCAACTATTTTTACTTTAAAGTTACAGTGAAATAAAAACTTAGCAATTTGAAGAGACTTTTCAGTCACGGTAAACTCAAGAAACGATATACTCATATATGTATACCTATTTATAGGTACAGCATCAAGGATTTGGCTCCATGAGAAGTTAGTCGAAGTAGATCTCGTAAGCTTAAGCGGGTTTCCTCAGCAGACCTATGACACGGCATGGCAACCATGCGAGCATCTAGCGATCTCAATTAATTATTTTCCATAATTCCCCATCTTTCCTTCATCCCGTATTTTTCTGATTGTTAATAACTAATAACCATCTTTGCCAATGCCGAGCTTTGAATCGGTAAGCTTGTTAGTTATAGTTACTATGGAAATGCGCTCAAAGAAATGCAAGAACACGCCATCCTATCATATATGCTAGATATTATAAATGCACGTTCGGGTATGTGCAATTTCGGTTTTTCAACCAACAAAAAATGCGGCAAATTATACAAAACTTATGTTGTATTCGTTCCATTTAACTCCGCTAGTTTATTTCAGCCAATTTATTGATTCCTTTTTACATGGCTTGGAATTGTAGATCCCGAGCAGACGAATTTTGGCACCTTCAAATGGTCGGCCATTAATTTCATGCTGGTCGGAAACGGTGTAATCTGTCGGAGTGAGGTCCGCTAAAGCTCTTTCAGGTCTGTTTTCATAATATTTGCCGTCTGCGGCCTGCCATTGTCGTGAAAAAGTATGACCGCCTTATCTACCGGGTCGTTTCTGCCAGATAGCCTCTTTTACTTGACGTAGCTGGGCCAGATGGAGACTATGGCATCCAAATTCGGACCAATTTCGGCGGCCTGCTTGTCATTATGCGTTCACTCATCAAAACAAATCAACAAACCCATTATGGGGTCCATTACAGTGCGTCGTTTTTATAGTGTACGTGAAAAATAGCTATGATCCAGTATCTTCACGCTGGACGATTTGGCGCCGAGCTTATAAGCGTTTAGAGTTTTCCACAATTGATAGTTCACAGGATTGCAAATCCGGATGCAGCGGCAGAAGAAACAGAAGCAAGCTTAAGCGCAGCATATCGTAGAGCCTACGACAGAGGAAGATCAGTGCAAGCTTAAGAGTTAATCGACATTATCCAATCTGATGCATTTTTAACGATCCGTCTGCTCCAACTAGGGCGTAGCAAGTACATTTGATATCAGTGAACGTTTCAGGTCACTGAACGCTTACGGGTACAGTCATATGCAATAAAAACGAGACATATGCTCTCTAAGGTAAATTATTTCAATGCCGTTTGCTCCTTGATTCTCTCAAAATCGTTCTCGATTTTTTTCGGACAAAAAAAAAACTGGTCGTCGAAGTGAAGATTAACACAGGCGATCGCTGGCATCTTCACCATTCAGACAATTCTAGTGCTTGTTGCGTGAAACGGCAAATTGTTGACCACTCTCAATGTTTTCGAACGCTAAGAGATGTCAAGACATCACGCCATTGTACCTTATGTAGAGATGTAAACACATTACCTAAGTAGTTTAGTTGCATCTTCTAGAAATGGTTTTACAATCGTGGATAGCTGAAGACTCTCTCAGGCGACCAGATGTCTTCAAGAAGGACCAGCATCCTGCTCGTTAGCTCAAACTAGATGGTAAGTACAGCATTGGTGCCTTGAGAAAATTGGCATGTTATATAATGAGAGCATATGGCCACCGAATAGCGCAGATTTGAACCCTCATTTGGCAAATAAACATTTGAGAAGAAGCCCTAAGCGACTTCGCTTTCAAGTTGGATAATTACTATATTGAATGAGAATAAGAGTCAGAAATAGCATGTATAACGCATGCAAAAAAATCGTCTAGATATTTGTTTTTGTTTAAATACGGCCTTAAAATTCACTCATAAGAAAAAGCCCTGATTTGGCTACCGTACCCTGTGCATATCTTTGTCCTTCTGAAAAATTTTCCAGTTTCGGCGAACGCAAATCATTTCCTTCTTGGCGTGAGGTCTGGCTTAACTTTAAATTTGAGCGTTTCTCCAGGGGCTCTCAAAACTCAGACGCCGCTTCTCGTCATCGGTGATAAGTCTGTGCAGAAAGTCGCCACTATGACAGTTTCTTGTTCGGTGCCGGGCGGGACCCAGTTGAAAGCCAGTGAAAAAGCGCATCTATTTATCAAAGACTTGAACTCCTAATCGTTAGGTAAATCCCATAAACCTAAGGTGCGTGTCGATGGTCGTATGACTATAGTGAATTTTTTCGCCCAATTAACAAATTATTTGCCAAACGTCATATTTCAGAAGTGTCTTAAATCGGTATTTATGGGTGACGGGGGGGCGGACTGCATCCTCCAGTTTTGAAAGAACATCCTTCAGCTTGGTAATTTGCTCAGTTACCGAGTTTTTGCTCTACATGGCACCATGCCATGCTGCTTGATAGCTGTTTGGCCTTAGCAAAAGGCAAAATAGAGTAGGTATCGAAAATGTCCTTTTCTCACCTTTAGCTTGAGCTCGATGTAAGATATCGCTTAGTACACGATGAAATTACAATCGACTTACAGAGCAGTTCGACGTGTATATAGAATTAAACCAACAGCGGAGCGGCAAACTAGAAAAAGGACATTAAAAACAAAGTGAAAAAACTTGTGTTTCTATGTGAAAGTACGAATAAAGTTTCTTGTAGCAGAGAAAATTCAAGTACAACCATGTTCTTTCCAGAAAATAATATATAATTATACTTATTAAAAACACTTTGTACAGAATAGTACCATTTGCTAATCGATTGATTGAAAAGAAAAAATCATTTAGTAGTCCTGTACAGAAAAAATTACGTCTTCGACAGGCTAATATAATATAACGAATATACAGCTTAGTCTGGCGAGTCCTACTTAAATACTTGCATAAACAAGTAAATGTAGGCCACACGAAAAAAACTATGACCATATCGTGTAAACAACGAGACATCACCATCATTCATGTTGACGCCGCCGCCGCCGCTGGAATACTGCAACAACAGTAACAGCAGCAGCAGCAGCAGATCGATCTCGGAAGATTTTTCCACCTCTTTCTCTGGCATATATTTTGTTATTAAGCGTGTGATTCTTAGACGAGAAAATGTTTTTTCGTGAAATTTTTGTCCAGTCATAGCAAGTTGCAGCTCGCCAGAGTATTTGATTTAGTATGAAGTAATTGTTAGTAACCTAACAATGATATAAGAGGATTTTTTCTATAGTTCTGGCGTGTTTCCTTCATATGTTGGTGTTTTAACAAGAATCGTCGACAGGACGTCTGTTTTGGCGATGTCTGCTCCGGTTTTTGGAATTTTTAGATGGAAGTCTAACTATGTTCTTGCATACCTAGTCTAGGTAAATTTAATTGAAAAAGTATAGAAGTAAAACTACAAAGACGATGGATTTAACATACCGTCGTGATCATAGTGCGACCACACTTCCATGAATTGTGACGCTGTAAGGTTCTTGAGTTCGCGTGTTTTCTTGTCACGAAACTGACGCATAAAGTTAGTGCCGACATTGGCCCCAAAGGCCGCCTGAGCCTTTAGCGCGTCTGGAGAACTGTCACACATTGCGGTCGCGTTGTCGTCCCTTTGTCGCGCCCTTGTTTCGATACTGTCGCCCTCTGTGTTTCCGTTAACTATTACCGGATTCCTATTACTTCGTACCTGAATAATTCAAGGATTTTATAGAAACGTTTAAAGCCGCGTATCGATGCTTTATTAGCTGTCTTGCTTTTTTATATCTGCGTATTCTGTCGGCTTTTCTGTAGAGCGTTCTACTATTTATCGCAGTGGCGATTCAACGTTGGTACAATTCTTCGAATCATTTCAGCTCTCATTTTGTTTTTTTCACACGCATGCATTGTTCCAGGTAGTTTCAACTTTCTGCGCTTGTTCGTGACTAACATACGAAGTGTGGCAGTAATTGCCTATATTATATGTGTATATGTACGTATCTGAACTCTAGGGTTACGTCAGACGTAATGCTACCGTTTGGCGCACGTCATTTTCTCAACAACTTGTCGTTGCTGTTGTCGTCGTCTTCGTGAAGTGGCCGTGTAGTTAAATAGCTAGAAAAGTGACTGCCATCTAATGATGATCTTACTCGTGAAAGGTCTCTCAGCGAAGTCGAACCCCAAACGACTCTCAATAGAATACCGATCAGTTGGTTTGCCTTATCACCGCATTATGATTAATAGCTCTTCAAGCCACCATCATGGTATCTTGTTTTCGGTAGAATAAAGAGGCATTTTTTTCGATTATCGTTTGAAAATCGGCTCTATCACGAAACGCAGAAGGAATACTTTATCCCGTATGGTAATATCTCGACACGCGTTAATCATGGCACTGGCTCAATGACGAAGTTTCAAGCACGTTTGCGTTCAGAATAAAACAAAATGTCATATTTCGACCATGCGATGTTAGTAGAAGTGGCAACAATGAGAGCAGTTGCCGCATTCACAATGAAAAATGTCGACATTGACGATGGTATAACTGATGACCTATGCGGTTCTAAAAAAGCTGTTGACTGATGATGTCCTTCCTGGCCGTATTGGCGGTTAGCACCTTTACTGACGCGATCAGGATCTGCTAGGAGCAAACGGCAGTGGAGGCGCGGGCGATGTCAAATTATTCGTCGTTCTCTGCCTGTCCTTCTTTGTTCGAACGACACGTAGCCAGGAAACTAACTGTTCCTTCTACGAATGCTCCTGAACTTATGAAAGTTAGTTGCGGGCAAGCGGTCGACAAACTGATGGCTTCTCTTTTCCTACGATTGGAGCTTCCACGACAGAAAGACGACACTTCACTTAACTGAAGCACGAAAAAAAGCGAAGGCAACAAATTTGACAAATGGTATACTGTTATCCTCCACGTACAATGTAGCTTATACAAAAAGAACCCGTTGTATCAGATTGTAATCCTTGTTCGACGGTGACTAATAGAAAGACTTGACCCTGCCGTATTTCCAGTAGGTGTCGTCTACGACCGTGAAATCGCCAGGCGTTGCGTGACATTGGTAATTCAACTTATTGGCGTTGGAACTTCTACCAGAGGCCATCTCCGCGGCTGACTAAGATTTTGTAGAAATTGATTTCTTCTTTAGCGGAAGACGATGCTTATGGTGTCTGTGCTAACTTCGTCCGCGTTTGTAGCTCGGCGATGGTTTATTCATCAGCGGTAAATGCGAGCTTAGCGACCCTTCGAGAAGCCATATTAGTGAGTTCAGACATCGAAAGCCGATCACGGCAATCGATGGTAACGTCTTCCATCTGTGAAGCTCAAACTATTTAATTCTAGCTCTGTTTGCTGTGACGATTAGATGAGGAAGGCTCCCGATCTAGTCCACTGCAACACATAAGGTCAAAAATATATGGAACATTAGGCAATCGAGCTTACTTCATTTTGTAGTTACTATTTGATATGGCTTGTTCTTCTCGGACCTGCTATAGTGTAAACCATCAATAAAAACAATGAAACATTATAGTAGCTCCCTTTGTCGCTACGATGAAATCGAATGGTAGAGAAGAACTGTACTTTCAACGCCTGAAACATGCCAACGCACTGCGGCCTGACAGTTTCGGGCCGTTTCAACATTTCGCCTGTCTAGATTATATCATGTATTTTATTTCAGTTCAAGCGGTACCTTAAGGCATGATCGCCTCGAACTTTGTAGAGCCCTTAGCCCATTTCCCTGGTCCCTCGTCTGTTATACTTAGAAGTGGCTTTAGGATTGCCGTGTGAACTAGACACGTAGAGTTCGGCGCACTTCTTAGCCAGTTGATGACTTGATTTTATCCGCCAAACTTTAGAAATAAGTTAATTTTTTATGCCATCAGAATTGTTCCGTGCAGTTCGACATTGACTGAACTATGATGACTTCCAGATTAGTGAACACAGTGTTCCTGAATTGACTTTCGCTTCGAGACCATCATATAGCTGCTGACAATGGAGAAAAAATGGATCACGTCAAGCCTCATCGATTCCAATTTGCAATAGTGTTTGGGCTAACCTTAAGGTACAGATCTGGAACTGATTTGGGGCTAACTTCTTTCAGTTAACAATGGATTACTATGTGTATGACTGTTGAACATTGACATAGGTAATAACAAGCATATACTATGTTAATGCAAACTGAAGCAAACGTAAGTATCATTTGGGTCTGCTTAAGAGCAAGGTATCAATTCCTTGAAAGTGTCGCTTTTTCTGTTTCTTCTTGTGCTTATCTTTTTATTGACTCTAGTAATTGTTCCCTGTTTAGCCGGCGCGTTCAATTGGAAATAGCATTACAACAGGAACGTGATATAGCCTTGTCGGGATTATTTAGGTAAAGCAGAAGTTGAAAATGAAGGCTTCGGTTAGCCATTATGGTTTTAAGCTTGAACGTCTCAACAAAAGACCCAAGCGAACTAGCATTACGGCATCGTAGCACGAAGCCTCTGTTCGTGGAACGGTGCCAATGACATTAAGCTATATGAATAGCAAAAAAAGACCAGCGATCGACACGAACCTTTACTTGAGAAGACCATTTCATACCGGCTGTTGCGCAGCCGCGACAGCTCAAACAAATGTATAACAATTGACAAGCAAGAGAAGTCAGAGGCGAGCCGACCCACATCGACTTCTCTCAAACGCTTACTGACTCACAGGTTGGCTGACTGTCTGATTAATTTTGTCTCTCTCGCTACGACATCATTTCACTGCCACAGATTGTCTATTATCACCACCTGACTGCACTCAGCGCCAGCCGACACTGCGGACTCAGCCACCGTACCGTATCATAATCAGACTCCACAGGAAACGCGGTGCGGGTAACCGTGGACGTACCGCACCAATGAGACGAAACTCATATTCTCCCCGATCATGACGCCATGTATCGGGAACATCCACACACATACACCAGTTGATGTGGACACGCGATGTTGTCGAATTAGAGTTGCGCGATGCTAGCTAGGCTTCGGGCACTTGAATCTACTACGGTGGAATTGGTCCCTCCGCAACAGTCGTTACGCTCCTTGGGTTGGGACCGCTATGTGGCGCCACGAGCGAGTTCACACGCCGTTCAGGCTGCTGCGACCATTGCAACCCTCTCCAGAATAGGAACTCGTTCAGGAGTGCGTGTCCTAAGAGTGTGTGTGTGTGTGTGTGTGTGTGTGTGAGAGAGAGAGAGAGAGAAAGAGAGAAAGACGAACAACTGCAACACAAAATTAAGTTTTTTTTTGACAATGTCAAATATGCCATGAACGTTGGGGACTTCATTCTGCTAGGTCGATACTTTCAGAGCGTCCGTCACAGATACTGAGCCGATCTAATTTAATAGAGCCTAGTGTAAAAAATAGGCGACAGCTAATAATTCTAATTCTGTTTTCACAGGTGGTCGTCCCTTGTGCTGACGCAGCGCGATACGTTAGAGTACGTGTCTTATCTATGTATAATGGTGTTGTTTAGTGTTAGTTACGAAGATGTTCTTAGTATATAAACAATCACGCGTCCTTCAAAGCAAAAAAGAAATTCGGTGCTATTATTCAACCAACTTGAATAACTTTCTTTTTTCATTACGAATAAAGGTCTGCAGGCCCTATTAGTCGACGTTATACGTCTACATATCGTGTTCAACCAAATAATTTGAATCATACTGAACGTTGTTTTTGGATTGGAAAGGTTGTAATAGATCTGCAGGTAATGATGTCCTTTAGACGAGTACTATTTCCGTAGCATGACAAAAAACATAGAGGCATACAACGTTAGGGTTCTTCGTATACGAAATAGTTTATGCATAGACTGATATGGTGGTTAGTCAGCTTGTTTTGAAGATCTATATTTTATAATAACTAATTCTAATAACGTTTATAAAGCTTTGAACGTGAAGAACGATATTGCTTTAGCAGGTTCACCTCTATTACCTTCAGAAAAAAACACATCTCGTTCTTTCCAATTTCATATATTAAAACCGATTGTATGCAGTGATTGTAGCGTAGCAAAGCTGCAATTAATTGACAAAATAATGGCAGCAGTTAGATATGTCAAATACTTAATCTAATTTATACCGACCCAGGCTTTTCTAACTACGACTAGTCATCTTTCTGATTAGAGATTTGAATGGTACTAATTTTAATTAATAAATGTATTAAAAAATAACGAAAAGCAGGGCAGCTTATAGAATAAACGGTTTCTTTCGAGCCAAAATGGATAAGAGAGCGTACAGATCTCCTAGCGAAGAACAATGTTCCCGCAATGCAAAGTTAAACCGAGGAGTAGAACCATACACATTTGGAGCTTCCGTGCCGCTACAAGGTCGAGTGGGCGCACCTTACGGCTTCAGTGATGGTACATCACGGATAAAGGCCCCAGAGCCGAAATGTAAGTTCGGGCCTAGAGTAGGTCTCAGAGGTACTATGTGAAGAAAACGCCGTGCTATGACAAGCGTCCCGAAACGACTGACACCTTCATCGTTCATTAAGTCACTGTAGATGCCAGCTAGCAGAGAGAGAGAGGAAATGCCCCACTGGCTTACGTAACTATTTATTAACTGAACCGTCTACACAGCACACAGTTGAGGAAGTTAAACTTGAGGCTGGCAATAACGAGCGTTACGGGATCATAATAAACAACTTCAAAAACTTTGTAACCACGATTTGGTGATTCACTGCAGATCAAAGAAATGCATAGTATCGTGCAAATTGGAACTTAACATTTAAAGAGATGGGAAGATAAGGAGCTAGGTCGTATTTAATTCGCAGACCTACTGAATGCCATTATCGGCTGAGTGCGCATTCTTCACTCAGTCGTAAACTACTTATCGCTGAAGGCTATTTTAGCATTCAATCCAAACTGCTCAAGGCTGTCTGGGAGACATCAGCTAGCCAATCGCGCTTTTAAGGTTATCGTTTTCGTACTATTTGTCATGGATCTTAAATTCAATTTAGTAACCTAAGGAACCTTGTACCTACGAGCTCGGCAGCTACCTAAGACATATGCAGTTTGCTCTCAATTTCTTATTATATTCTATATTTTATTACTAGGTCCTTAAGTAGCCTTATTTTGGTTCTCTGCAGACAGCAACGCATGTCTTCCGATTTTGTGAAGCTATTCAAGTTCCACTCAATCACTCGCCCGAAAAATAGAAAGGTCGGCTTTGTTGGCCCTTGGAGCTGTATCAGCGTTTCAAAATGATAGGGGACCGTTGTCTGTATCACCACTTTGTTGGTGGTATCGCTATGCTTATATACACATAATCCATCTGTCTGCATATGTACGTTTGGGGGCTAATGATATGGGCCTAACACTGTCATGGCAGTGCGTGCTGAATTTTCAGCATGCAAAAATGCACGTGGGTTATGGTCAACGTGCACTGTTTATTCCATCCCATGTTCATTCGTCAATCTATTTATTATATGATTGTAATGTTACATATTCAAAATTGTTTTCCTTGAGCAATTTCCTTAATCAAACCTAAAAAATGAAGGCATGCCGAATTGCAGTTACATCGATGACTAAGGCCTTAGGATCGCACTTGTATGTATATTTCTGAAGACGATGTAAGATAATCTTGAAACACAAGTAAGAATCTTTGTACAAAAACAGTGTCATGTAACGGATTTTTTAACAAATGTATATAAATTGCAGTGAAGGCACAGTGGTAAATTTTTACGAAAGGAAGTTAGCGGCACGCGAAGCAAGAGGAAAATGCAACTTACTTCTTAACATATCCGGGCTGTTACTGCATGCGATAAACGATAAACTATAATGCCGTATGGACTCAGACAATGCGAAATAATCACTGGGTCTCATGCGAGAATCGCGTTCGGTTTGTTGTGATTGTTCATAGTGGTTAGTCGGTAAACTTTGGCACCAATGGTAAATGGGAGTTAGGCAAAAACAGCGGTGACGACGGACGGCTGAAGGACTCCCGTCGCCTATGCAAACAACCTTGAAACTGGGCGACTGCGCAAAGAAGTCCAAGCTCCACCGTTCTGGCAAAATGGACCATTCAGAATCCAGCCCCTTTATGTATTTTTTGTCATAAACTGCGATCAGGATACCTAAATGTTTTACATGAAGCTAAGATTGAACTTCAAGTTTGGAAGCTGGTACTATATTGTAAAGTGTTAGCTTGGTTCTTTCACCGCGCGCCTCGTAGTTTGAATGCAATCGTTAAGGGCGTGAACTTGCGATTCCGCTTGTGAAAACAATTGAGCTATAGAGTGCTACAAGAATGGTTATTATACAGTGTATTTCTAAATAAACACGCAATAAGCTTAGTAACCTTACGTAATATATGATACTTGCTGAAAAAGAAAAACCGAAAAAGGGTATGTATATATATATATCGGCAACTTGTATAAACGACCTATGTGAACCACCTAGGAAACATTTTTGCGTGTAGACTTGATAGGTGCTTGATAAGAAAGCAGTGTAATGAAAAGTAAATATTTCTCGTGTTAATAATATAAAAATATAAACTGTATCTTATAAACTCGAATATAAACGTTAGGTACGATGAATCTCTTGAGCAGTATTCTAAACATATGCACAGATCTGTGCAGGTATCACCAGACAGTTTAAGAAGAAATCTCACTAGAGTAAGGGAGTCTTTGTTTTAGATCGGTTAAAGTAGCAGGAGATGGGCGGACCATTGGAATAAGGAGCGGATTTCGTTGCGCACTCTAACATAATTTGTAGCTTTCTACAGGTAGTACGTATTAAATACATTGCTTGAGAAGATCCTCTAGTGAAGAACCTCGAACAATTAAATCGTCTCAAAACCTCCTTCATCAAAAAAACACTGCGACTACACATGATGACCTGAAAATAGTTTTGCGTATCTCCCAGCCGAGTCGCCACTGCTGCCCGAAAGCCGAAGGTTTCCCAACAACGGAAGCGATCAAGACAGAACTTGAAAATCGGAAGTAAAAGTTAAGGGATATTAATGAACATTTCTTTGCTTCGGGTGCGATAAAGGAAAACGATAAGGAAATGAACAAACCCGTTAAGCAAAGATGTCATCATCGTGCATCTGTTTCATCATTAAATCTGCGTTTTCACGAATCTGACAATAGATGCAGTGCTCTAGATGCGAGGTAAACTGTGATACATGATAGAGTTAGATCATCTCTAGGGCATCTGGAAATATCTCTTGTGTAAACTTGTGTAACTTATATGGCACAAACAGTTTCAAATCGTTCTATCCACTTCCTCATATTGGAATCATGTGTTGTTCTGTATTTTTCAAGTCTGTACATACTAACATAGTAATATATTATAGAAATACGAAAATGATATGATGCGTTACGCAGTATCTTCCCAATGTCGAATAAAAGCTCTTTAACTGTCAAGGGACTTTTATGTTGCTATATACATATATAAATATATAGTGACACAGAAGTTTGTTCGGCGAGCTAGAGGCGACACTGATAGAGTATTAGCTAGCAACACCTATGAATATATTCAAACGAGTTTCTCAAATATTAACTACGAAGTGAGACATCTTTTCTCTCTCTCTCTATCCATCTTGCGCTTTTTTATGTACTTATGTCAACGCCAATCTATCAAAGTGTGAAGGTAACTTCGACTTTGTTTGTTGTTTCATTCTTCCCACAAGCTTCTCTCTATCGTGTTGGCATAACAGCAAACCGTGTCAAGTGAACGTAATCGTAATTATATACATATAATTTTTTTAATAATAATCATTTTAAATCATTAGATAAGCACACCTGCATATCGAATCAAAAGAACAAACCAGATCATATATGAACAAAAAGTTGTTTATTGTACAATACATTTGTAGTGGCCAACCTGGATAAGCGATAGGCCACTTCCCAAAGCACTTTGTTGAACTGTGTAAAAGTTAGTAAGTTTACGAGTTTGGACAAGGGTATCAAGTAAATGAGATCCAACGCCACTGTTGAACACCTTATGAAGGATCTTTAGAATTATTCGACCGCTAACTTTAAGAACGTGTATATGTTATTTTTTTAACTGGTATAAAATGTTGCATTTTTATTAAAAAGGGCATTCATACATGGACATCCAGAATATGTCCGGTTGAGTGTGATTAATAAGTCATATTATCAAAACTATTTTATCTTGTTTTGGACATCAAACTGAGAATCAGAATAACCGCTCCAAGAGGCAGCCTTGGGCATGATTTCGAAATTCTGCTACCTATCAATTGAGAGACCTGAATTATTATAGACAGCTACTTATTTAAAATTAGCCCTTGACAAAACCCATATAAACATACAATCAGAAGCACACCTATTGCTTGTTATCACTGTATCAAGCCGGGATAAGTCCATAACAGTGGATCACTAGTAATGTTGACTTTTGGACGACTTCCATTTTCGATATTTACTTGTCAAATGGGGATTGAAACGCTTGGACAAACAGAGCAATTAATATGGGAATATTATATAATATAATATGCTTAACGTTACACTATAGCAAGCGCTATTTTGTTAGCGTTAGGGTTGTTAGCGTATGCGACGCCAAATTTTCATTAGATCGTTTTTGGTACAACTAAAGCGCTTTGGCTAAAGTAAATTGTTGCTAGTGAAGATGTAGCGAAGGTTCTGACTACTACAGGTTCTTCCTACAGATTTCTGCATCATTATGGAAAATATTTTTATGCTTGACTCATCACAATGCAGGACATGAGGCGCTGGGATTTGTTTGTAGAACTAGAAAGAGAACACTAACGTATGCGTTTTTTTTCTGTCATATAGTCTAATCGGCCTGTTGATGCGGCAAACCGTACGCGCCACTTGTTTTCATCTTATAAAGATCGCGTCTTCATTACTTACGTATTATCAGTTTGTTCGGAAAATTCCTTCAGTTTAAGTATGGAAATATTCATGTGTTCAATGCATGACGCGTTGCTATTGCCAGGACTTCGTCCTGACATGGACCCGACTTCATTGAAGTCGATTTTCACGATCAATAAAAATTTTGTACGGGCTAAATTATTTGAACTAGGTGGACGTACCTTTTTTGTTACCCACTAAAATTAAATGGTTAGATTTATCAAAAATCGTGAGTACTAACAAAACGATTTGGAAAGAATTTTATATGTTTGATATGTGTACGATCTTCGTTGCTCTAAAGCTAATTCGATATACCCAACTGATTTGGTTGGACCGGCAATTTTACTAGATATAAATTAAAAAGCACATACAAATAATATTAGACTGGGATAATCAATAAAAGATAAGTGAGTGCAAGTTCTGTCTACAAAACGAACATAGTATTTCGTTGAAATTTTAGCTATAAGGTAAATATGCTATCGCTGTCTTTCCGCGGGCTTCGCCCATCCATTGACCGATTGTTAATTTTTTTCCCGCCAGAAAATTTTTGGATTGGTCTTAAAAGCCAAATCTAGTCCAGTTTCTTCACAGTCAAGTGTATGGTTATTAATTTCGGTTGGCAGCGAGGTCTGGGCAATATGGCGGATGTAAAAGAACCCTCCAATCAATAGGAATTCTCACAATATTACCAGTGCAGTGCATTCGTTATTTCTATCGGATTTTTCTTTCTGTTGAATAGATTTCGTTGGCCGTTTTGTCCTTCTAGGGCGCTCTCCGGTGTGCAAAATGTATGCACAGCTTATCTGCTAGACAAATGACGAGTCGTTTGCCATACGATATAGCCATCGACCTCGAATGACCAATTGAAGGCCCAATATTTTGTGACTGAAGTCAGCAAAACTGTTCGAGCAGTCCTCTCGGTCGTAGTCTTCCCAGTACACTAATATATCATGCCGTTTTCGCAACTTTTTGGCTACGACGAATAGGACAAGCGCCAAAAATGTACCTCTTTTAATTTCGGTCAGTCATTTTCTAAGGTCGACGTAAGGTCACAATTATAATAGACTTATAGATATGGAAGCACTTTTCGACTACCATATAGAAATAGGCTAACAGTGAAAAAGAGAAAATAGCAGAGAAAGAATTAACCTTCTCTTACCCTACAACGTAATAGACATACAGATAATGATCAAAGTAAAGCAAATTAATTTGATTTGAGTACGCCCTGTGAAATCAAAACTGAAAACCGTTTAGCCTGAAGTCTCTAGTGCTGTTTTGGAATCATTTCGGTGAACATGACAAAAATGAATACGGTGCGTCTTATAGAAATAAAGCGAACGTTACGTTTACAAGCTCATATTTTAAATTAGGCAAAAAACAACTCGTTACGCCATTCAAAAGCTCAGTCACAACCTAATTCCTCGAGTTTACTGGCGATTTATTAAAAAAGAATGGGGACACAGTACGAACAATGAAAGAAGACGGCTATTTAAAGCAGTAGAGTACAAAAAGTGCTATTTAGTAAGTGAAGAAAACGTTATCGTACTTCGTGCAGCTGGCAAGCTGGGCCGCCGTTCAGAAGCAGCTTATTCGACTTTCTCCGAGCCGAAGTGGGGAAAAATGAATCATAAGTACATTTGGAGCCATGCATCACCTTTATTTATTATTAATTAAAAAAAAAAATAAATGAGGTTTTTTAGCTGAGGTAATGCGAGACCATTGACACAAACCTGAGTTTTAGCTGTCCAGACATGGCTGTGAGACGTTTCTATGAGAGATTACGTAAGTAAGAGCTTCGAATACGATGTTTAAACCCGAAACTTCTATAAGCAACTATAGCGTTAGCGGACGGTCAACGGAGATACGATTACAGTTTATTATTATTATTATTATCCTACGTCGAAAAGCAATCTTTCCGTTAGCATACTATACCCATTACGTCGTGCGAATGCTTCATCCATTCTCAGCCAAATTCTGTTTAGCGTCAGAGTTCCAGGCTCCCAATAAAGCCTATGATTCGGGCTAGAGCGTGCATCTTTGTATACAAGTACATTTAGCTTATTGACAATTTTCAGATGCTAACGATGCCCTTTGAAGGCTTTCGTCGTAAGAGGATCGACATGCTAAATTTGAATATATCTGTGAATTTTTTCGTTTTTTCGCATTACAGCATTTGACTCAGCCTTCGAATACTTCATCTTCGGATAAAGGTTAGGCTTCATGCAAGTACAGGATGACTGACACTAGCTATGTTAGTACTTTATCGGTATCGTTCAATCAGCGAACAACTTTGCTTTGTTTAACAGCTCAAATGTAGGTAATCTTATGTAGATTGGTGATAGATTAGAATTGGTGCTGTTGTTAGAGAGATATACACGAGAATACGAATTATGATAGATGTGTACGGTGAACCGTTACATTAGTCTACTAGACAATACAGATTCCGTAATAAGACCACCAAGCGGGCTGCAGCGATCCAGGAACAGAGAGAGACTCTAAAACTATTGTTCATCAATGGACCTCACTGCAGTGGCTCACAATGCCGAGTAAAACAGTCTATGCGAAAGATAATACTTCGTTGAACCTGCAGATTCGCCCCAGAGTGCCGCGAGCGTCGCTGAATGACACAGTTCGAGATTTTTTAAGATACCGTCAGGCCAAAAACGTAAAGTGGTATCCACGACTACACTCTCACGATATGGTATAGCTGCAATTTTATAATAGTTAGGAGTAACGTAAAAAAACGATATCTCTGGGAAAAATGTTTTCTTTTTTGTTCGCAATACAACAAGCTCGCTACGGGTTCGAATTTAGATGGGAGACAAGACTGCTTTTTCAGGTAATTAACGGCTAAGAAAATATCGAGAGCTTAGTGTCACATTTTTTCCACGGGCTTATCGATGCTGGGGATACAGGCAATCGGAAACCTGGAACCAGTGACAAGAAGCATCACAGTAACCCAACAAGAACAACGATAGCGCCACACAGAGTGGACAATTTTTGACACAAACGGGTCTGGGATGGGTCTCGGGTTGCGACCCTGAATTAATTTGAATTGATTCGAAAACGGAACGACAATGTTCGGACCAAATCGTTGCAATTCGGCGTGTGTAAGGCTCGTGAGCAGGTAGGAGCGGATGTTATACATTCCGAATGTTGTTATTATTACCACGTAAATCGTGTCGTGGATAACAGTCATCATAATACATTATTTGTTAAGATGATCGTAAGCGAAAGGCTTATTAACGTAAGTATGTGAACGGTCTAATCGAATGGATAATATTCTTCTCTAATTAGGATAGAGACAGGCGTAATTACGTATTCGAAATAGATCGATTTATTTTTAAGGTAACTTTCGCTTTTGGATAGTTTCTCATAAGAGTTTACTTTATCGTACGGGCATTGAAAACTAGGAAAAAATGGTCGAAAATTTTCAAGCGAGCCTGAAAAAACATTATAACTAGCTAGCCTCACTACTAACACCATTGATATCTCACACAACTTTTTGCAGATAACAAATATAATTTTAAGAACATTCTAGCATCTATGTTGTTTGACTATGATAGTAATGAATCTTCTACCGCTGTACCGTTAATTCACGGTTGCCCACGCTACGCGCTGACTTTTTTCGTGCTGACTGGCGCGTCTGCTCAGAATGCAAATAATCCTGCTCTCTTTCCACTGTATTGCATAAAAATCCGTTTAAAAATAAAGAAAAAAAGGTGTAAATTTTGCTATCAGCGTAGGATCAATCGTACTCAAATTTATGTAGCTCATAGCATAGTACAACGATGAGCCCAACTAATTTAAGCGTATCTTTTTTTTTCTAATTCTAAAGCCAACTTGTTCTAGAAGTGTATGTCTGCTGCTCCGTCAAATAAATCGCTACTGACGCTGGCTGCAATACAAAGCAGTTTTCCCCAATGATAAAGATCAACGTGACGGGCATCTGTAATTCAGTGTTCGTTGAGACATCCCCTGTCCCCACGAAAAACAAAGAAATACGAGTTTAGATGACACGTTTCGCCTTCCACTCGGGACCAGTTGATGATTCATCGCTGATCGCGCGTCTGTTACTACAGCGACTGGCATCACCTTTACGCTTGCCATCTTCGTCGATTTGTCCGTCTGTCTGCCAATCATGTTTGCTGTTGTGACAGTCCATGTGTTCTGTCCATCAGTTTTCTGCCCGGCTTTCTCTCGTTCGTCTTTTCCTTAAGCTCCCTCGAATCTTCAAGTAGCATCAAACATGACTGCTAGCTTCCCTTGATCCTCGCTCGCCGATCGCTGTTTTCTGACTGCTGTAGAGGAGAGTTCGCGACGAAGAGGCGACAGCGAAGTGGGGAGAGGCCTAGCGACAACCAGTCAGCACTTAGCGAAAGAAAACACTCACACGCTCAGTGTTCAACGCGTGAACAACTGCTACTGTTATTGTATAGGCAAATACCGTTCCCTTAGTCGGTGCCACCATGGACCTCTCGGTGTTTGCTGTCGTTCACAGCGGATCGCCCGCCCCCGGAGATTTGCATGGGGCCCTCCCTCTTGCCAGTAAGCGATACTGCTCGCCAAACAATAACGTCGTTGCTTCGAAGGAAAGGGAACTGCCCGCCAATGAAGCTGAGCGCAAACGTCTGCCTTAGCGTTCGTCCTACTCACACTTACTCTCCGTATGACTTTATTTGACTGGCTAGTTGAGTCAGTGGGCTAGTGAGCTGTGCAGTGTGCCATTTACCGTACGTGTCCGTTGCCATGTGCGGTCTCGGCCGATCACAGGAAAAAACGAACTTTGCAGCAAAGTTAGGGAAGGTGGCAGTTACAGCGGTCTCACTAACCAAACAGCGAAATGTTCTATTGACTAGTGGGGCATGTGATCGTTCGAGGTGTCGCAATACGTTTAGTTATTGAAGCGACGGCCGTCCTGTTCCTCCAGCTATACGGTGCTGAAACCGCAACGACAAAGCAGCAGAAACGCAAGCTAACAGCCTCCAGCGCTCTATAGCGTGTGTCCCATTGCCATTGTGTAAGAAGTGATCGGCAACACGTCTGGCTCGAATCAGCCGTCTTTGCCGAGTTATCTCTGCATGCAGTGCTCTCCGTCGGGCAGAAAAATACACGCTTGCCACACGAGCAAGCATTGTTGTGTGCTCTAACTGGATATAGTCTAGCCAACGAGCGTAGAGCGGCGGCGCTGTTAACCATGCTTTCGTTCCGCGAGAGACGTACCGCCACTGCCAGCCACCGTTACCATCGTCACTCTCAACGTGCGCAGCGTGTGGTCTCCCGCATACAAAATAAACTCATCTAGCCAGCCAGCCAGCCAGCCAGCTACCCAGCCAGCCTGTGGTGTCACAAGTTGAGCCAGAGCTGGATATTCTTGAATGTCTTTGCTAAGCGTCAGCCACGCCGGCTACCGTGCAGATCGCCGTGAGACAGATTTTTCTATAGCCGCCAGGAGAGGAGGATCCGTTTGAATCAGTCTGCCGGTGGACTTATCACTACGGCTACTGCTACTACGGAAGAGTACTGGCTTAGTAGTTTTTCTACGGCTGGCCTTTTCGTACATCTTTCATTGATGAGTACTCGAATATATTAACGGGAATACGGCCCCACCAACAATAACAGCAGCAATTAAGCGCCTGTTCCGGTTAGCGCTGACGCTGTCATCGTAGTTGTTTTGGTGGAGTCCGTAAAGCTCTCGGTCGAACGACGGAGTTGATTACGTTGTGCATACGTACAGGCATGGGCCGCACCTCTTCATAGCAGCAGCAGCAGCAGCAACAGGCCCTGTTGTTATCAAGTTAGATTAGTGGTGCATGGTGGTGCCAGTGGCTAAGAAATGCCCACCCGTGTAGCAATTCACCGTTCATATCGTTTACCACAACAGTAACTGATGTTGTTTTGGTGGTGTTTGTTTGTCTATCTATCCGCTGCTGGGTGAGTGCGTGTACCCATTCAGGACGGTCCTGGTGGCGACCCGATACTTACCAAACGGTGTTACGCTCATTGCAATCGGCCCCTGGCCACAGCGGCAACAGCTACTGCTTCTGCTACTACAACTATTAACCCCGAAGGGAGGGAAAGGACGGAACGTAATAAACGGTCGATCAGATAACTGAGCCGATCAGTCAGAGCCGTAGTAGTAGTACCAACTAAGAGTTATAGTCGTTGATTCAAGTGTCGGATCGATTGGATGGCTCATTTCGTCGGATTGTTACTTGGTGAGTGCGTATCTACGAGCAAAAAACACAGGGGCAAATGTGATTCATGAATGACGCCATCAGAAAGCGAAGCAACACCAGCGACGGACATAACAATAGGAGTGACCGTATCTAACCCTGTGCTTACAGATAATGCTAGATAAAGATGACTCGTGTTGATTTTTGCTGGGGCAGTATCTAGCGTCGCTGGATGTTAGCAGTGCTTACATCGAAGTGTCCTCGAATCAGAACGAACGCCAATTATCCCCTGACCTACTCATTTGTTCGATTCTCTGTTGATAGAAGATAAAGTAATGCGAAACAAGAACAAAGAGCGTCGGCAGAGGCGACGGCAGCAAGGGAAGGCTTACCGATTACAACAGTTCGTTAGCGGTCAGCGGATCAGCAGTTCGAACGCGAACTCGACAATGTCCGAACATCGTTTCAGCGTCCAGATAGTTTCTGTGTAGCGAGGTTCCATCTACCATTGCTTGCATACGCGCCTCTAGCTTCTATCCATCGAAGATGAATTATGAGTTCTCAGCGACGATACCAACACCAAACATTGTTGCATCAACATAGCGAGTGGCCGAAAGGGACACAACACTGCACTGATCGACTATGTGTGTGCAAACGTGCATCGTGCAAACGCGAAATTTCGATTCTGTGCTGTTCGTACCCTCGTTCGGTGCCACAGATTGATTACGATGGCTATCGCAGTGGCAAAGTCAAATGGTACCAACGACGACGTTAACTAATATTATCACTTAACGTTCTAATTTTTCAAATCGAATTACTACGACAGTGGTTCAAGTAGTAGATCGAAGCCGTTGGTGTACGCCGATGGCGTTGTTCCGATCAGGCGGGCGCGCAGCTGGCCAAGGGGGTACGCCAACTTCGCCGCGGATGCCGTTACTGCTCCGGTAGTGAACGGAATAAAGTAACGTTAGCATCACTTTAAAATAGACAAACATATCGAGAGTTTTGGTGATGACCATTTCAATGGCTACAATCGTTCATAATGATGAGAACCTAGACAATGTTGCCACTGCGTCGGCAACAATCACCTGTATTGTCGTAGTTTCAACATAATAATGATCGTACACACATGTAACAATAATTCTAATAACAGTTCAGTCTGTGGTCCTGCTGCTGAGCGAATTCTGAAGCTATCTGCGGCTTCAAGTGGCCGCCACGTCTACCTTCGTCGTCTAAATAGCAACAGCTATTGAATGTCGGGGTATTGTCACACGAGCACTATTGATTATATCAAACGACCCGCCAACATTGTTGGCACCGCATAAATATATTATTAGTAGTGAGCGCCCTGTTAGTATCGCTCCACGCGACGGCACGCTTTGCTGACAAGTACTCGTACTGGCCAAGAGCACGACGATCGCTCCCGCTTCTACCCAGTTACTAGGACCCTATAATCAGCCTTGTCCAGTGTTATACAGCGTACACTTTAGTGTACGCTATCTGCCAGCCGGACAGACGGCGTTGCATGCCAGTCTATAGCTGTCGCCGTCGCCAGTGCCACTAGCACGTTTCTATCCATTTATCTGTTCGTACCTATTTGGGTTAACTAGCAAAAGGAAAAGAAAGATGTAGGGTCATAACGACGCGGACGATGACATGCTCGCGCTACCGCCGGTCGGTAGTTGACGTTTTTGGTACAATTGCCCATTGATAGGAGCAGTGCGGCGACAACTGCTTGTTGATGTTACGCGTTCGAAAGCGAAAGTGTCTCTACGAAACGCAGCAACTGGTCGGACGCACGACTGTGGTTATGGGCCTCGTAGCGATTGTGGCCTTCCTACTGAACGGTGGCCTGTTTTCCAACGAATCGTCAGTTGGTCGCTCGGTTCCATTGTTCAACTTTTGTCTGTAAACAGGCACGCGCCTGGCCTAAGCCGCTGACCGGAACAAACCATTTGCGTAGCGAGACAACGACGAAGACGCCGACGACAGACTCATCAAACAGCAAACACATATTTCTAAAACGCAAATACAACAAAGCGACTTTTAGTCACGCATTGAGTTTTATTTATTGCTCTTTTGTCGATATCGTGACCGTCCGTCGAGGGGCGACAGTGGCGGTCCGGCAAGCGACTGAAATCCGCCTAAACGTAAACACAAAACAAACAAGTGGAGTTTGGCTAACCTCAAACACTTTTTTGGTAGACTCGACAGCCGAGGTAGAAAGTGAGGGTAAGCGGGTAAATTCTCGCGCATGAGTCCGCAACACTATAAATGCCCGTCGAACAACAACGTATCTCAAGTCAGGTGACAAGGGAAGCGAACAGGATCCGCTACGCCAATGTTGCATATTCTATAGCATCCATTTTGTCGATGGAAACATGTGGCGTGCACCTATACGATAACAGCACAAGTCCATATCGTAGAGTTCGATAAATTATCTTCCGATTGTCTCGTCGCATCTGACTGACGCTGCCGGCGACATTAGTCTTGTTGTTACTCGGCCGATCTAGCGCGTCTGTTGTCCACATAGTCTTCATAGCAGCCAGCAGCAACAACAACGCTATAATTCACTGGCGGCATTTTTCCATCTGCGTCGTCGAAAGCATTACCATCACCAGCGACAATAACGGCAACATATTACACCTCACAACGATTACATAGACCACCGTAATCGAACGGTTAAGTGCCACCGACTTAATTCTGCTCTCCCGCACCTTTCCCCTCCCTCTCTGCCACCCCTCTCTCGCGTGCATGTCTGTGTGTAGGTACAATTACGATAGGAACATCCGTTTACTGCAATCCAACTAATTGATGTCAGCAGGTAATAATACTGCTGCTGTTATTGTTGTTATGGTACGCAGCAGCAGCAAAAGCAATGGAATCTGGACCAGCGCAAGGCGAGTGTTGATTCCGTTGGCGAGGCCACATGAGAAGCAGGTGATCCTTTTGGGCCTAGCTTCGAGATCGTCGGTGCGCTTTCGCTGAGCGCACCGCCACCGCCACCGCCGCCGCCACCGCCGCCGCCGCTGCCGCTGCCGCTGCCGCTGCCGCTGCCGCCGCCGCCGCCGCCGCTGCCGCTGCCGCCGCAGCCGCCCTCACTGGCAGCGGCTTTGTAGCAGCTGCGAAGGTAGGCAGTTGCCAGACGTGTCGCCACCGGCGTTCGTTGTTGATAATCAGCAACAACTTTGCTGTGCAACGCGGTGCGCCTTAGAGAAAGAAGTAGTCTCGTCAACGAGCATCTTTCAAGTGGTGTCACCGTGTCCTTCACTAACAGCCAAATCCGATCGCTGCAATCTCGATCCTCAGTAACGACAGAACTAGAAGTCGTGCAAATCGAACAATACCCACTGGTGAGACGGGCCTTCTCCGCCGGCTGGTAGGACCTGGCTCGCTCTGTTGATTGCTGTTAGCTTTGTTGTTGTTGTTGTTGTTGTTGTTGTTGCTGCTGCTGCTGCTACTGCTGCTGTCGCTGTCGCTGTCGTCGTCCCTGCGACAACCGATGTTTACTACTACTACTACAACTACTACTACTACTACCGCTACGCCTACTACTAGCGAGAGGCAGCCCGGCAGACAGACGCACGGAGTAACTGCGTTCTCAAACAATAGCGTGACTAGTGGAACAGCGTAAACATGTCAACAATGAAAAGAAGTGAGTAGTACAATAAACAGCGAAAGCTTCCGGCTTTTACACTGGCGAATAGAGAAAACAAAATAACGAAGATGCAGGAGATCATCAAAATGTGAACGAAGCTCAGTGTTGTAGTGGTAACACCAACGAACCACAGTGGACAACAAACGGCCGCCATTATCATCTTATGACATATTTATCGTATCTATCGACAATTAGCCAACTCTACAATTATTCGAGACCTAACAAGCGCGCGCGGCTACGAACACTGTGCGCTGCGAGTCATCACCTCAATACCACCGTCGTCGCCCTCACGATGGCGATGGCACCTGCGTGAAACTGTTTTACGTGTTAGAGAACAGGCAGCTTTGCAGGGACTTCCCTAGAAACCGAAGATGGCTGGATCATTTGATAGCTGGAGTGAGGGATTAGCGGTGCAGCTGGCCGCTCAGGTGGAGGCGAGTGCGGTTCAACGCTCTTCGGGACCTCCCACTATCGACGAGATGCAACTGTTGGTCGATAAACTTAAGGTAAGGGCGAATGCCCTGATTTTGTTTTGATTCGCTGTCACTCATCCAACTCCTGTTTCATTTGGAGAGGAAAAAACGGTGAAGCTTTATTATTGTATACTAACGGAGCCAGACGAATTTGCCGTGTCAGACATACAACCACGAAGTCTTGGGTTCGATCATCAGCTGAAGTCCTGTCGTTGTTTAAACAAGAATACTGTATGCACTAACTAAGAAAACTCCTCCATTTATTATTTAAGTTATAAGCATCACGGATATTCGCCGTTTACTCAATGCCGAGTAATTTAACCGTAAATATCACTAGAGTGTCTTGGGGGGTTTGGATTCTGACAAGTTTAAAACGTGCTAACAATTATACGTACCCTTTAAGAAGACGCTAATACGTTTCCTAACAATCACTGCTCGATTTCAATTAAGCTCATGTACTAAATGTTTGTTCTGTAAACAGATAAATTGTCTCGTGGGATATGTTAGTTAATTGCTTTCACTGGGTAGTGACTCTGTGTTAGATATTTTTCTTATCGTTCTTTCTATATATTCATATTTTCTTATCTAGTTTATTATTTTAGTTAATGATTTTCTTCTGTTTCTTATCCAAGAGTTCCGAATCGTAAAGCTGTGAACATTTTCATTCTACTTAGCTACATTATAAATGTAATATATCCTTGTATTTTGCTTCATTGTTATTAAAAGGGAGCGATACGAAACCGCGAGGGGAAGTGACGTTACTAAGCCACTAATGAAAATTAACATTATTTGGTTTTTTCAACTTATTTAAACTTTAAATTTTAGAATTCTGTTCATTGTCCCGTAATAGCTCGACTACAAAAGCTATCAATTAATCTGCCCCCTAAAACGAGCAACTACCTGATGCTCCAGTCGTCTGATACAGCGGTCGGCTAGGACAAGCACTCGACGTGGACTTCAATAAGAGGAAACGAGATTTTGCTGGTAATACTGCTGAAGTAGATTTTGTCCTATTTCGTAGCTTTTCACTTATTAGGAGAAGAGGCCCGTTCTCTAAAGCAGCAGCAGCGGCAGTAGCAGCGGCAGCAGTAGCAGTACACTAAACCCTTTTAACTGAAAGCTATCACTCCATATATTCCCTCGTAATATTTATATTGCAAACAGTCTCATTAAATCTTATATCCTTGTAAGTATCATATCCACCCTTTGTAGTTAGTAAATAATGATACTCAATGCGCGGCATAACCTATAGGAGATCACTTTTTAATTGAGGAGTCCATAAAGATTGTCCTCTACCTATTGATATTTGCAAAAATGTCATGTTTAATTATATATCTGCTCATGTAGGATATTAAGGAAGTTCGCCATATTCAGAAATATATTTCGAGGTTTATTGTCTTTATTGGGCAAGGATCTACCCGCTGCACCCGTCAGAGGCTCAGATGGCTAATTACATCCAAAAATTATATATCTATTGTATCTTTGCTGAAGCTATCGAAAGCTGACATTGGCCCTTAGGCGCCAGATGACATATAATTATATCATAGCACAAAAATGGCATCTAGTGCAGCGTGGCCTTCGGTTCGGCCGAACTTGTCCTTCTAGTGTTTAAATTGCTCTGGCTTACGCTGCAGTACGTTTCTACGAGTTATGGTTTACTCTCGGCTTAATTGCCTTTGAAAATGCACACCTACATTTAAATAAGGTTTTTATACACAATCAAGATCTCGGTATAAGCAAGATATTTTTTTTTTTTCGAAAAGGTGCGTTAGGACAGCAATGATGGTAGGCAAACGTCTGTTCCTTAATATTTCTTAAATTTAGCTAAGAGTACGTCTGGAAAGTACGTACCATTACAGGTTATATAGGCTTCGGCTACACCATTGGCTATTGTCATAATAATAAATTGCTTTAATCACCCGATCGACGCCATGCCGTATTTTGCCTATGGAGTCGACTACTTATATTCAACAATTATTGTCACAAGCCTTGAATTAGGGTGATCCTAGACGATCAGGCATTGCTGATAAATTAATTTTTATACATTGGTTACGTATTTAATCAGAGGAACGTCAGTACGAGTAAACTGATCATGGAAATCAATGGCTAAGATATGGAGAGCTAAAACAAGGCCTCCGCTGTACAATTTCTATACGTGCTGATAGCACCACCATAATAATCTCTGATAGTCTCCAGGTTTCTAGCGTAGATTTAGAAGCAAGCGTGTTTTAGTGACGAAACAGAGAACTACAGAACACTCAGCCGCTGCTTCTATCGAGAATAAGCTATTCTTTCATACGTGCGAGAGCTTTGTTTTCGTATAATGAATCGAACCGAGTCTTACTATCGAACTATAAGTTTTTTTTTGCACGTTTTACTCTCTATTACTATAGAAAATTAGTTAACTGTTTGTATTTAGCACTGCCTTATCTTGCTTCTGGCATCCTCTTTTCGCTCCTAAGTAGCACTATTTTAAGTGATTTATCAAGTCAAACGTGCTCTCGAGTAGGCTCTATTCTTCGAATATTATAAAAACTACATCATAGCTGCACAATGATATCTACATGTAGAGTAACATTGACAAAATGCGGATCCTTGTTCATGCCAGCCTTCTTCGGTATTCTGAAACGAGATTCGTTTTACACAAACTATTGGTAGCCATTGGCTTTTGTTTACTCTTCGATTTTTTTCAACCAGACAGCCCATCTGTTCCACATAATATCATACTTGTTTGTAATTTTAGAAAATATATAAAAACAAAAATAGAATTTCATAAAATTAAATGTACATTATTAGAATAGTGAAACTGCTTTTGTAGACTTACAATGCCCCGCATGTTCCCCACGTAAACAGATCATTTATCCTTCTGGATCTATACGTTTTTTCAGCATTCATGTCAGTCAGCCCTCTTCTACGAATAATATTTTAGAAATACAATAAACTTTCGAGTACGACTATAGGGTTACACGAATCTTGTTGTTCAAAGCTACAATAATAAGTTGATACGTTAGCGAGCGTTTCGAAAGAAAGGTTGGCTGCTTTCTAATGATAGATAAAGATGTTTTAAATGAAAATACTGTACATCAGGTACCTGATGTTCTTCCAGAACCAGTGAATTTATAACTAGATACAAGGGATCAAAAGTAACCGCAACCATTGCAAGGACTATATAACTTCAGGCTTGATCTCTTTCGTCTAACTTTCAACAACATACTAATATTTCGTCTGCTAGCTACTTATATCAGGACTAGCCGGGATTATTTAGCTAAAGCTCAAGTCTGCTAAATATTGTACGTATTTGCAATCCAGCTTCAGTTCGATTTCTGTTTATTTTAATTTTCAGGAGATTCTCCTCAGTCGCGGTCAAACGGAGTCCGGCGTTTGGAAGCCTGGGATTGATAAAGGCTCAAATGCACCAGGATTGACGAAAGCGACAGATGTCGTTTTAAGTGACGACATGGCACCAAAGGACCATGAGCCTCGGGACAACTATTTTGCTCTCCTAACAACAGCAACAACAACGACAACAACGACAACGATAACGGTCGCTAGTGATAACGTTGACGAGAAGCGGTCATCGTGCTTGTTGCTTATATCGGTGACACCGAATGAATCCCAAGGGACAGAATCCTTGGGTCCACAATTTGCGGACCAGCAACAGGTAGATACCTGTGGACTTCGTCTGCATCAGTATCTCTCTATCGACATAATGCATATCCGTTTCACATTACGCTGGAATGAAAAATTTATGTGGGAAATATGAGCAACATAGGCTAGACCTAGCGATTAAACGACGAGTTCTCAACATTCACACCATCTCCAATAAGTTCTTAAGTACAACTGCCACAATCTGTTGCTCATTTCCATCCCTCAGATATAATACTAAAATAAAACAAGGGCCTAATCTATCATTCCCAGAATATAGAAACATTCCTTATTATAACATATACCACGAATAAGTACTTTGAACGGTTTCTGTGCGGAATTGATAAAAAGCAATCCTCACCCATAAGCTGTTGAATAAATTTGTTTTGCATTCTATTTCTGCAGTCGACCGTGCCTGCCGGAACGAACGACTCATCAAACGGGGCTTTGTTAATGTCTCCGTCGACCTCTTCTAGCCTAAGTGATCAGCCTCTTGTTCAGTTGGCAAGTCCAGCTGCCGCGTCTAGCACAATTAGCAGCTCTTCGATGACGCCAACTTTCGCTGTGACAACATCTACAACAGGTAGCACCACGACGGCGGGAAACATTGGGTTAACCGCATCAAAAAGCGCACTCACATCCACCGCCTTGGTTGAGCCCGATGCTCCACGTGCCCGTAGTAGGTCAGCAACTTTCTTTCGGCGCATCTCATTCCGTGGACTTCGTCGGAATCTCTTTAACAACCACAGTAATGCTAACAGGTACTACCCACTATTAATTGATTCCATGACAGAGTTCGGAATGAACCCTGTACGCAGAACGTATCATAGCTATAGTTGCTTTGGGCACTCACAGATAAAGAACAGGGGCAAACAGAGTGAAGTAGCGACTAATCATGTAGCTTGCTTTTAGACTGGTTCAAGTTCACGCTTTGATTCAACCCGAAAAAAAACATTTATCTCTGTCTCTACATTCGCCTGCTCTGGACGCTTATACACTATTATTGGCTTAACGACTTCCGTCTGCGATTGGGGGGGGGTCACAGCACTGGGGCATCAAGCGAACAAGATGCTACTCCTTCAACTTCCGTTCCTGGAACAGAACTATCTAATGGCGAGACCGGTGCTGCTCCAGCAGCAGCAGCAACAGCAGCAGCAGCAAACCCCAGTGGTGGAAGCGGCGGCGGGGGAGGACTTTTGTCTGCTGGACCTCGAGCTGTGCGTTCTCGTTTGGAGCGTCTTCGACAGCATCGGATCGCCGCGGAGTGCTTGAAGGAGGCGGTTGTCGAACTTCTTGTTCCAGACGATGATGAAATTGGTGGAACTGGAGCGGCAGGTCTTGGGGCACATCCCAGAGGCCATAAATGGACAAGGTCAGTATATCATACAATAATGCCCTTGTTTTTCGAAATGTCTTTTCCACAGTCTACCTTCAGATCGTATGAAATTGTTAGAAACTGCGGGTCTGTAACTAAAATTTAACGCGCAACGGTTTCAGCTGCACTATTGATAATTGTCATAGGAAAAAAGCAGCCGACCCTTTAGCATCTCTACGTGGCAGCAAATTGTCGTTAACGAACGTATTAACACTGCGGAGAATTTTTGCTGGAGTGTAAGTTATGTATCAAGGGAACCTGCATTTTTATTCAAACAATTATATCAGTGCGTTGGCGATTATCGAAGAACAAAGTGTTCTCTATAATCCATAGACAATATGGTCATCGCTAATGATCATATTAACAAGTATATCTGCAGGTATATGTGGCGTGCAATGAAATAAGAATTAGAGACCTTGTGGCCGCCAGTCACTAACCTTGTTCCTAGGCCATTTCGGTGAATTATTAGTAGCTTCTGATGATATTAGTTTATGTAAATAATTTATGTAAAACATATATAGCTCCCAGCTACGGTGGAAACAGAAAAGTTACTCTTAGGGGGAATGCTACTTCGCTGCGTCTGTCGTTGTTGTATTCATGTGATGTTGGTCGTAACAGACGTACGCGTATCTTTCAGATGTCGGCTCTCGCTAGTACGAATATCTGCTGGATGTCTATTGGAATTTTACGTTCCTCCCAAAGCACTCCGAGCAAAAAAAGGTACGTTTACTTTATACAGATGGATGATATTGAATTGGTCAAAACGTAGTGACCTTTATATCTGAGAAGGGACACCATGCTCTATTCACACGTGTCTGCCACTCCACGACCACTTTTTTATTCCGTCTCGCCTGTCAAAAATATCAAATCGATGTTTTCCATCCGTTGCCCAGTGCCCTGCTTTTCCTAAGTATTTCTGTGCATACAATACCTATCCAGCTTTACCGAACGCAGATCACAATATTTTTAATACGAAGGTTGAACTAGTTCTAGGTTAGGCGGATTTTCTAGAGTTACTTAATCCATTTTTCACAACATCAGTTTTCATCGTCTAGAAGAATTTACCTAGCTTAATTATTTATTTGCATTTTTTCCTGAAACGAACATCAAATATGGTGATGATTTAGCAGCACAACAATTCAGGATTAAAATGTTTCTACTGACAATAATAAGAATTATATCTCCAGAGGTATAAAATGTTCGTATTCTTTACGTTCATCTCCAGGAGTTTTTTGTATGCTACTAACGGAAGTTCGTGAAACAACTGCGCTGGAAATGCCTGATCATGAAAACACATTCGTCCTACGCGCGACCCAAGCGGGATACGCATTAGCTGCAAGGTGTACCACAGGAGCGACAGCATCTGCGACCAGCTCTCAGCAGTCTCAACAAAAGGTCCCTACGCAACAACGACAGTCAGGGGCCTTAGTTAACGTAACGACCACAACCGTCGCCAGTGCACAGTACAATTCAACGACACAGACACTTAACGCTGGTCGACGCTCAGAGACACTCGGGTGTTCACGTGCGAGTGCAGTAACAGCAAATCGAAGCAAGGAACCCGAGAATGCTGCAAGAACTGAAGTTAGTATTAGTAACGAAATCCTTTGAAGGCCTTTCAGGTAGGATTTAGGTTTGTCTAGGCTAAAGCGACATTAATCGAACGACTGATCGCTGAAATGCTATTTGGTTCGGTTTGCAATTGATTTTTATTCAGATTTCTACTTCTGATGGAGGAGCAACTGCTGGAACAAACCTACGACCTCAACAAGAGTTCATTATACAAGCTGGCGATGCGGCCGCAATGCGCGGCTGGATAAACAGTTTACGCTTCTATGCGGGCGTAGGTTCTGGGGACGGTTCAATGTCAGGTCTAGGTCTCGCAGGATCGTCTTTGGGTGGCGACGGCTATCCACATTTAGCGACGCATCACGATTCAACCGGAAGTCACCGACCACGCTCAGCAACTGCTGCCTCGGATACTTTGAACCGGTTACGCGAGCAGGCCTCAAACAAGCGGCAACCACCGCTTGAGGAAACACCCATTCCTCCGGGAAGTGGCCCTACAACTAACGCGTCTGGTCGACTAGTAGCGCTTTCGGAAAGTCAGGGAGCTCTCGGGGCTGGAGCACAAGGAGGACTCGTTCTTTTTGCAGGGACCACCGATACTGAAGGGGACATTGCCGCTCAATTAGTCGAGTATCCCTGGTTTCATGGCACGCTATCCAGACAGGTAATAGAACTAGGAGAAATATAGCTATGTATTTAAGCAAGCTTGCAATCATGTCAACTTGCAATCATGTGTACATTATAAAACTTAACTCGTGCTTACCTGATCTGACGCCGTCTGAAAATGGGGCAGGCTGCGCTGAGTTCCATATGAAAGCTTTGTCAACCAGCTTGCACTGACCATGCTCTTATTGTAGGATGCCGCCATGTTGGTATTACGAGATGGACCATCAGCTCACGGCTTCTTCCTCGTACGACAATCTGAAACACGAAAGGGAGAGTTTGTACTCACCTTTAATTTCCAAGGTAAATCATGAAGCCAACTAAAATCTTCTTTTCTATAGAATTTAGATTGTTTCTCAATCTAATCAAAAGTTGTACCACAAATGCGCTGCAAGTGGGCTATTATGAGCACTGTGAATTATAAATATAGAATAAGCTGGTGTATCTCGAACCTTGTTTTATGGCAAAAAAAGAAGCTAGTTTTTCTTTTTTTCGATATAAAATCGTGCCTTGCCATTACTGTGATTAGTATTTGACTGTATACGCTACAACCGGTACCAAACTGTATAGGTCGAGCAAAGCATTTACGTATGACGATCAACGGCGAGGGCCAGTGTCATGTACAGCACCTATGGTTCCAAAGCGTATTCGATATGCTTGAACATTTCCGATTGCACGCCATTCCCCTCGAGAGTGGAGGAACATCCGATGTGACCCTTACCGAGTTTGTACTCAATCAACCGTTCATTCTCCATACGACGCCTCCGTCCAACGCAACAACGCTGCATACGCCGACCCAGGTTGGATGCTGGCCTATTATTAGTTCATAATATTAATAATAGCATAGTATTTCGTAGTAACCTAAATCTCTCCATGGAGAAAATCTAAACAAACAACAGGAGGAATCAAGCGATTATTGATGTCGTTTCATTACAGACGATGCTAAACGGTCCCATGGAGGACATAGGTGATCATACACCTACCATTTGTTATAAAGCAAAGCGAGTTCAAAGACGATGTACTCAGTAGCGGAAACCTATGGTGGCAGAAAAGTAAGATGTCTCATTATTCTGGCTAACAGAAACAAAAGACATATTGCTAAGCATCACTCCAAAAATGTCGAGACGCTAATGGCATCGTACGTGGGCGACGCTAAGCGTCTTGATGTGAGCCAGTGTGCTAAAAGGGCAAATCACGAACGATTCGGAAAAGCTTGTAACAGTCGCAACAAATATATAATACATATCAACCCTATCTACGCAGTTAGCGATCAGCGAACGAAGTACTATACTGTTTTAACAGTTTATCTATCACTTAGTAAATGAGTAAGGCCAATCCTATAGGGGCCGACCCATTAGGGTCACTCAATTAGTGCCTAAGCAAGCCATCCCAAATTGAGCTTGTGGTGCACAGATCAGAATATGGAAGCCTTCTTAAAATGGACAACAGCTAGGATAGGTCAGAAACACGAACTTGGAGTAACACGGTGACATTGAGGCTAGACGCGAGCGAGACTCGTTAGTGAGACGATGTTTGTTCTAGGTTATCTATTTGACAGCCTTCATCTACCGTACACCCCTTAGATGCATGCTTAGACGGAGCCCAGCTTTAGCTTCTCATCTAAATCACCTGCCCAGATTATGTCAGTATCACAACGAATAAATATTGGTCATCTGTGAGAACAAGTACAACGAGTCCATAAACGAACTTTACTTACCAGCAGCAGAGGTACCCTAATAATCGCAAAGTTGTGTGAACTGGTAAACTTGGCTTGCAACTGGAAACAACCCTGAATTTTTACATATCGCTAAATTTCGGTACGTGGGTGGACGTTTGATAGAAATCGATATATGTGAAAACCAGGAACAATAATGAAAAGAGCACGTGGGATAGTACAATATCGACTCCAACATAGGTTATGCTGAATTCTCAACAATATTGGACGAACCTTTTCGAGAACTGAAATTTCTTAGCAGCGGCACCATGGGTTTTTTCGAATGTACATATTACAGGAAAAAGTAGTCGAGTGATGCTTCCTTAGTAACAGTTTATTTTAAAAAATTTTGTATACATATACATGTATATATATATATATATACGTATATATATATATAGGATCAATCAAGTCACAAAATGATGAACAATTTAATCAGATTATTTTCCATGTGAAAGTCAGTATGTATGATGCAGGAAAGCAACAAAGACACACGCATCCAATGAAGCGTGTTTTTCCCCTTTGCAAAGTCTAAACTAACTGTGTTTTGTTGTTAGTCTCCTGCCACGGGTCACGACATCATGATGCCACATGACCTAAGCCTAGAAGGTGACGCAGATCATGTAATGAGCTCTCGCCATGGAACGACAAATCACTCGCATGGTGGAGCGACTGTAGGATTTGAGGTGCGTGATGTCATATGCTTTCATAACTGCCATTATTTAATTTAATCTTTATGGCCTCGGTTGAGAAGACTCTCTGGCGATTAATGCTTCTACTTTATTAATAAAGTATTATATTTTGAAAACGTTGTTCGAACCCATGTTGAACAGGATCACCGCTAGTGAGTGCTAAAATATAAAAAAAGAAGAGAGACTGAGCTTTAGGTTGGTGAGACAATCGATCTGATCTTCGATTTCATTCATCTATCTAACTGAAGTTCATTGATGTTCCATTTGCTGTTCTCCTCTGCCACTCCAGATAGGGGCTGGAGGCCATGGAGTCATCGACAGCTTACAGAGTTCGTGGGCCGGTTCTGTCCGCCATCGGGTCGTATCGCTTGAGAACCTCGTCAGTGGGGGTGTCACCGGGACAGTCGGAACCCAGCAGAACTCCTCTTCCGGACAGCTCAAAGGACGCGCCGTAGAAAACACCTATTCGTTTGTCTGAAACAAGGGATTTTGCTAGATGGAGGCGTAAGAGCGAGGTGTGCTCTCATCAAAGTTGAAAACTACGTGCAAAATACGGTTACCAAAAATGCGTTGTTCTTCTTCCATATACTAATTTAATGTGTGAGCCTTTTGTGTTGCATTCATTGTTAAACTGACGTGGGAGTCGGGAAGGAAGTACAAACAAGCAGGATTAGCCTCAACCCTGTTACAGCATAGGCCTATAAACAGTAGCTAGTGTCAACGAAATGAAGAAAATCAAGTTCCGATATGAAATATTGATCATTATATGAGCACGAGTTACGAGAAGCTACGCGTTACGTTGTTCAAATAGGTCACCAAAGTACGTACCCTCTTTTCCAAACGAGTTTTGTGATTCCGAGGAAAATATCGACTTTATACGGGACGGTCAAACCTTGTTAGTAGTTTGCAGTTGGCAAGATTGGTCCAAGGGTTATGCGCTTCAGGCAAATTGGATAAGGGTTTATCTAGAATAAATGATATCCTTTCAAATACGCAGTCGATCATTGCCTTCTTCTAGGCATATATTAGTAAATGCCAATAATAGCAAAATCAAATAGACCACCGATTTTGCACCATTTCATTTATTCTATATTGCCAAATTGACTGGGTAGCTGTAAAACTTTCCCTAGGACTTCGTGAGCAATTTACGTTTGTCTTTCTTGTTTTTTTTTTTTTGCATAGGAGTATATCATCGTCGTGCATAGAGACTCAGATAACGAAGAAGAAGACGATTCCCCCAACTCTGTAGAGCCTTGGAAACGATAAAACGGGGATTAGATCAAAATTCGGTGAAATCGGCGTAAAACGCATTGTTATTGCACGTGTTATATCAACACTGGCGAACAATTACATGGATCAGAAAGGCTTTGATCTGCCGTCTCAAAATTTACTATCTACGGTGCTCTAAAATCTGATTAGGCCTATGCTTTCAGAAGATGAAGCGATTCCCTACTCGTAACGAACTAGTAAAGCCGAGAAATCGATGCTGGCAGTCTTAGTTATAGCCACAACGGATTGTCTCAGTAAGGTTACTTTATTCGTGATTGTCGTTGCCATTATTTGGTTCTAATCTCTAGGTAGGCCATTTTAACCGTTCGTGTCAAAAAACTCGTGTGACTGGGTTGTTTCTGTCTCGTGCACCTCTTTGTGAGTGAGGGAACGAATGAATCTGTTACTATATGAGCCTGCGGGCCTGCCGGTGTGCGTGTGCACACATCAGAAACTATACCAATTTATTTAGCGGAAAAATCGCACACAACTTAATTATGTGCTATTCTCAAGTGCTACCTCATGTGCTGATATATAATTGCGATCCTCAGCGTCATCGAGAGGCCGGAGCCGTGCGGGAACAGAGTACTGCTTCGCGTCGTTTTCGATCTCTCCCCACCATAAGAATACTGCGATTGGACGTCACAACGAAATAAGCGTCTTTTCTACGTGTGATCGATTGCATTTCATAGTATCAGATATTTAAACAGGACATATTTTTTGTTAATCTGTGCATATAACTGGCGGCCAAACTGTGTAAATATTTATACATACATATTGCTGCATTCAAATAACAAGCCCTACTAAAAATATTCCTACAGGATTGCCTGAATGATGTGAGTGAGTGTTGAAATTAAGAGATCACTAGTACCGATAATCGTTATGAGCAGGCTTACGTGGCCTGAAAAAGTAAAATATGATGATAGGACGTCGTATTTATTACTGTACTCATACACATCTATTCTTATAAGACGAACGAAACTCTATTGTTACTGAGCACGATGGATACGGTCACCTACGGTGGCGTACGATAGCAGCTCAAACCGTTTCATGTAGAAATATTTACGTTGAAAATCAAGGATCAGCTAAAGATTATATAGATATATAGGGTGTGACGCTGACGACGTACCAATTATGCAACACGTGATGTCCACGCAGACCGCAGTTTACAATATACAACAATATTGGTATGATTTTCATTATCATGCGTAAAGTGATATGTCCCGGTGGGTGGGTGGGTGGGTGGGTGGTTGTTTTTTAAAAGCATATTTTCTAGCCAATGGCTGGAGTGAACGTCCGGACTAAAATGCCTCGATTTTTGCTTGAATTAACTTTAAGGACACTAACAAATACCTAAGTTAAGCAAAAAAAGAAGACATTCAGCCCTCTATTTTACTCAGCCTGTACCTTGGTGAAAATTGGGCTTTTGTTGTCACACACTCATAAAGCCAAACAAATCGGGGACCAAATGCTATCAGTTTCCTCCCAACGGTAATGGGTTTGTTAACCTAATGCAGATTTGAGTAAGGAATACTACTCCTCGATTTCTAGACAGATGATACTGCCCGCAATACGCTTATATTTATCCCGCTAACAGCGAGCCATTGTTGAGCAAAGGATTCGTGTTTAATCTGGAGATGGTCTTTGATGTACAGTGAACGGTTCAATCGAGTAAGGGGCTGATACTATCTAGGCAGCGAATAGCTTGGGCCGTGTAATAGCTTCCCCACTTGGTTAAAGCCTAAGAAGGCTCCTCCCTTGGACAGACGATTCGCTTTACCCAAATTCAATAATGAAGAGTCAAACGTATCTTCGTTGGCCGCATCCTACGTGACCTCATTCTTGTTTTATGTTGCCCCGAAAAAAGCGCAAGATTAGAAGGTTTACTTACATGTATTTGAAGATGTGAGAAGAATATAGGGCGTTCGTATGGTCTCAGGTGTGGCCATAGAGAACGCTTCTTGCTCAGATGGACAGATAGGTCCGTAAGATAAAAAGGCAATTTATTTTCGTCTAACCGACCGACGATAACGAAAACGGTAAATAAAGTAGAACCTAATGATCTCAATATTTAGCTTACTCGTGTAAACGTTTACCATTATTATTTATTATTTAACATTGCCTTACGCAAAACACGGCGCAAGTGTATCGGCAGTAAAATAAGTTCCTTCTAAGTATTATACATGTACAGGAAACACACACACACACACACAAAAATATATATAATACTATCATTTAAATTCAAACCGTAGATACATTGTAATGATCGCTGTTGGTGACGGTGTGATATTTCTTTTTGGGCTTTACATATATGTTTCGTTTGTAACTTGAAGTTTCTAAGATGATATGACGATGTTAAATAAATATATAGTACGAACGGAAAGTGCAAATAAAGTTCTAAAAGATCTAATGGCAGGCGCTGGTGCGACAACCTAGCGCTGTTCTCACATTCAAATTAAAATACGACCTTTTCTTTCGGAGTGGCTAGTATGTAGCATTTCTGTCTAGTCCGCAATTAGGATCAGCTTGACAAATCTTCATATCCTCACGAGTAGAATATATTTAAAGTTCGATGCAATACAATATCTGGACCTTCTGATGACAAGTTCATCGTTCGGTAGCTTCAAAAAGTCACAATGGCGACGTTTTGCTTGTTTTAGAGATACACTTGTATTTGTGTTCGTAGACTTTGAAGTGTGGAGTTGTTTACTGGGGCATTTATCATCGCTCTAATTTTTGCGATGGAAAAAATGAACGCGAATTAGATCGTGGAACAAAAATAGTGTTTTCTAAAATCTCTACCGCGAGTTGTCAGTGTGAATGAAAAAGGGAGCTTCGTTTTAGAAATATAAATAATAAAATAAGTTTACGGATGTCTGGTTTTGTTCACCTTGGCTAAATAAATTAGGTAAATGTAGTGATAAACCGAGTTTACACATTCATAGCTTGCTCCCCTTTCGACGTTTAACTAAAGACATCAATATGTAAAGTAGAATAGGAACTCTGTTCTCGGAAATCTTTTCCAACTTTTCCTTCGTAGCTTTTCTATATTTTGAGCTTTGAAATACAACAAATGAAAGCAATTCATCTGGAGCAACGCGAGTATCTTCACTTATCCGCGTTGATCGTCGCACGCGACTCAAGTAAAGCTTATCGAGCTGCAGAATCCGTATCTTGAATTTCGGTTAAGGCTATGATAAGAAGAATCTATCCAATTGAATGAAGATATTGAGAAAAACGTTTTATAATCCGTTATAGCTGGTCACAAAATCAATCCCCTGACAATCACAGCCAGGCGGGTGTTAGTGTCTTATTCTACCTTTTATGGTGCCTTTATCTTGATATCATGCATTTCTTAAATCGGACGAATTTAGCTTCTTCCCAATACGATAATATTCGTAGCGACTTTATTTTTTCATAGAAAACTTCAACATCAACCAGCTGATGTCCAACTTAAGTGTGAAATCGGGACATTTTTAACATAGCCATCTTATTGTAGAATATTGGACGCTGAAACACGCCTCATTCGTAAGTGAGGTCGACGTATCCTTCATCGGGTTAATAATTGTAGCTATCTTTACATTACCACCTTTGTTGACGACATAGACGCCGAAATTTTAAAAGATGGGCATCGGTCTAACATTTAGGCTATTCACGTCACTGATCCGACCATTGGATATTATGTACAGCCGGGCCATATGATCGGCACGACGCGAGGTTTGAAAGCTGAGCGGGATTTTCGAAAATCTCTGTCTGACGAGTATTCAGTGGATGATCTTGAAGGATCACCTTTTGCAATGATTCAATAATAGCGCCTCCCTCACGATATCCCACATTACCAGCAGCAGTTCAATGGAGAACATATGTGCCTCTTTATCGCCCAGAGTGAATGTTTCATATCATACAGTTGGTATATGATTGGAAAAGTTATCTCCTTCCCAGAACGTCTATAATTACATCTATATTAGATTTGAAATGCTAGTGGAAAGTTGAAAGTTCGCGTACTTTGGTTCGCTTGTGATATTATAGTTATTTTGTTTTATGAGCTGTCCTTATAAACCACGTAGGATCTTTTTCTAGTTGGCCTGTAGGCACATGCCAACTGGGTACGCAAAGGCTTCACCTCATAGTCATTTTTGTGTATAATTTGCATTTTGTATGCATGCCCCTAGTTGACAATATGACGTGTCACAAGACGTGTTAACAGGTTTCGCTTTCATTCACATATTCTAGCCCACAGATACAGCCTATTATGTATCCATATTTCTATAAATGAGCATAAAATTCACAGCTAAGGTATACTGCCTTACATTTTTTTAGATTTCGGCACTGTCCTTATTCAACAAATCATTATTCCGACGTATGTGTATATATATATGCATATTGTCAGTTCCATCTGACCGCCACCAACCCTACCAGCGCTTTTATATCTCGTTTGTCTTGCGGTCTGCGGCTGATAAAGAATTGAGAGTACGCAACAGCATGTAGCGCCGCAGGAGAAAAGCCTTTTCTAGCGCGAGTACGTATTTCCTCGGCTTAAAGTGCTGTTGCTCTTTAGAGTGGAAATCAGGCCCGAACAACAGTGACGTTGCACCAGAGCAATGCGTGACCAGCCTACGTGAATACTTTAGTGCGCGATCTGCGTCTGAATAGAGCGCGAGTTGGAGGCCATCCAACGAGGTTCTAGAACAGACGTACTTCGGTGGTGTCAGAAGCAGCAGCGTATGAGCAAGGTGATTGCAAGTTTGCATTGTCGGTAGTGGCCGTACCAAAAGGGCCTGCAGACAGCAAATATCGTTTGGCAGGAGTTTGGTGTTTCGGATTTGCTCCGCTCGACTCAGTTAGTGGCCCGCCGCCACGGGCTAAATTGAGTCTTCGTGTTCTCGGCGGTGGCAAGTTTGTGTCGGCCTGTCCGAGGGGAAGGGTCTCCAGGAAAGCGGCGGCTTCGGCCGCTGGCTTCGGCTTATTGCGCTGCCACGACCCTCACGTCGCGTCGTCGAGACCCAACTCGACTTGCTCGGCTCAACGACAACAAAGACAACCAGAGCGCGCTGTAGTCTAACCTGGTCCTTTTTCGTTGTTGGCATTCTCAAGCAGGTAGCAAAAGGCAGTGCGTGTGCCTTGCTGCGCCGTGCTGTGCTGTTCTGTGTTGTGCTGTGGTAGGAACAGGATCATCATTCGTGTGCTGGAAGTAACGGTGCTGCTGTGGTGACCAGCCGTAGTGGCTGCAATAGTAGCAGCAGCTGCTGTGAAAAAAGCAGTATTTGCTACTGCTGCAAGTCTTGGCGTTTGTTCCAGTGGGTATTCTATTCTACTGTGATACGTTCCACTCGTCTTGTTTGCTGGAGGCAAGATGGCTGCCGCCTAACCTCCGCCACTGAGTGATCCTGGCCCACAGCAGCCGCGACGTTAGCAGCGGCCGAACGGCAGCAGCAAAGCCGTAACCGAACGAGTCGGGTCTTCTGCTGCCTTCAATAGAGAAACACTACTGAAGTATTGGCGGCGGCGGCGGCGGCGGCAGCAGCAGCCGCAGCAGCAGGGAACAAACAGTCGTGATTACTGCAGCAGCGGCTGCAATAACAGCATCAGAGCCGATAAAGTGCCAGAAAGAGCAGCAGCAATGGCTAAGTCGTTGTGCTGGTGGTAATGCTCGTAGTAGCCAACTGGATGAAAAAGGTTCTGCCTACTTTCTTCCGAACAGCTTTTTCCTTGTAGCATTCTCCATCTAACCATCTATAATCTTCCTATCTGCCCAGTTCATTCTTACCACGACTACCAAAGCAGTCGCGACTACAAACATTACAATCAGCAGCACTTCTGACAACAAGACTACAACTACAGATACTGATGATCTCTAATGGCGTTCATATGAGTATGCATCGGAGCGGTCATTTGGCATTCTTTGGACTTCAACGCAGACCGCTTTCCGCTTCCTCGCAGTCTCGCTCTGTCTGTTCATCATAAGTCATAGACTACTTCCAGTCCGCTTCTCCTGCGACCTTCTCTTCCTCTACTCCTTTCCGCTCATCCTACTCCTTCTCTCTCTACAGTTCTTCCGCTGTTGTTGCTGCTGCTGCTGCTGCTAATTTTGTTGTCGTCGTTCTGTTCTTCTGTAAACTGGTCTATTTTTTTGCGTCATCACTGGCTGCATGTCTTCTGCTGCTGCTGCTGCTGCTGCTGTGGGCGAATAGATAGGGCCAAGTCGTATCCGGGGCAACGGCTGGACGTACCTTTCAATATTCGAGCCAGTATCGCTGCCGCCATCGACAACAGCAGCAGTCGTGGCATCAGCCTGGTTGCGTCCTGGACAGATCGCTATATCGATGGTGCTGCACCAAAAGGGTGTTCGGCATCCAGAAGAACGACAAGATTCTACTGGGTTAAAGTGTGACTGTGAGGAGAAGCTGTTTGAGTGCCCCAGTGTGAAAGACAAGAACGCGAAGTGCGAACTAAATCAGTACGCGCCAGGTGACAGAAAATGACCCCCTGGCTCGCTGAAACAGAACGTGTTCCCGATCAACAGATGCGTATCTATCTTCAGCATCTACTAACGCTCCTTTATCTATGATATTACAGAATCGTCATATAATGCAAATGTGACATGTGTCGTAAGTCCAATGCTTAATGCAGCACGCTAAAAATTCTAAGTTTAAAGGAACAAAATATTGCTTAGCAGGCGCTTGCTATATACAATTGAGATATTCACACGGGCGGATAGGATCCTTGAAGGATCCACACTGTGACCATTGAGATAACACAAGCAGATGGCGTCTTTCGGCAACTCGTTCGTACTGCACCATACTCGAGTAATGGAAAGTTCTGCTGGACGAAGCGATACACGCCTTGCCTTTTACCGTCCATCATGAATTCGTCGTATTCACTCTAATCACAACAGCTCTGGCTGGCTCAAGACGCCCCTGGAAAACTTTTATATTCATGATTTCCAGCCGTAAGCAGTACATCATGGACATCTTGGAAATCTCGAATATGAACATACGCTAAACAACACGATTTTCTTCCATCTGCTTTTTGTGTCACGGTGCGCAATCGACTTTTTACGAATCGTTTACCCGTATTTCTGATCAATTCTCGTAAACATGGCTTACTTTTACATTAAACCCAACAAGCTATTATCGAGGATGCTGGTGCTGACAGATTTCAGCAGAAAAAGTCAGAACATGTTATTATGGGTGATTGTTAAAAAACCAATGGAAAACGCCGCACTGCTATTTACATTATAAGGTAATAGATTACTTGTTTTCCTAAAACCTGTTTAAGCTAATATTGTTGTGGTAAAACGTCAATTCTCACAGGTAAAACTTTTCACTTCTGTATAAGTGACTGCAAAAGTTATTTTAGCGTCTTTGAAGAGTATGAAACGTAACATATAGTTTCGTCTGTTTATGTTCTAATGATAAAGAAAATTCGGGCCACAGCTGACACTGATAACGCTAGTCCAAGAATTCTCTTAGAGGAAACCTTACTCTTTGTTTTTGTACGCGTGATCTGGTTCCTCTGAGCCCAGACTAAAAATTTGACGCAAATGATAATTATGCGCCAAAAATAACAACTTTTTACCTTATTTTACGTTCTAATTATCAAAGCCTATTTGTCGCTACCGGAAACATTTCCCGGAGAATTCCCTGCGACGCCTGTGATTCCAAATTCTAAAGGACAGAAAAGCTTTTAAAAGCCGTTAGCCAGCTCGAGGTACATTTGGAGTAATTCATAATGCAACATAAAATTTAAGTCTTAACAATTTAGGGTGAAATTATTTTCCTCTCAAATCTTCAACCTCTTCTCTATGGTTAACAGTGTCACAGGATCGACAAACAACTATGGAAGTAACAGAAATATAAAGTATTTTAGCTGTAACGTTTCTTTTTTCTAATGGAAAAACATTGACAGCGACCTTAGATCTTCGCCATTCATGAAAATAATCTATGAAGATAATCCCTTTAATAACAATACTGATGATGATGGAAAAGAAAAGACGTGATTTTTGTTATATTGGCAACCATAACGGCGTACTTAATCGTTGTATAATGAGTTCACTTCATTAGCAGGAACAAGTTCCGCTTCAAAATTCAATCACAATACGCTAAAATAGTTATAAAGTTGGGTATATATTCAAATCATTGTGCGTGTCCTCGAGACAAGTTTTGGTAATCTAATGAGTGGTTTCTAGTCCAGGAAACAAACTTCCCAGCGCGTAAAAATCGTATGTACTAAATAAAGACGGAGCGACTCAGTGTTAAAAAAGGAAAAACATATAGTAAGCTATCTGCAACTGCTCGTTGCATTTAGGTGAAACTGTTATATCTACTTGAATTCACGTAGGCGCGTTCACTTAAGTTAGTCTTCAGTTTCAAACTAAACAAAACAATGGCAGGTAAGTTAACAAACTCGGGCTAGGAAAAAGAAGAAAAAAATAGTCTATTCGTGTGTTAATGTAGATGTTGATGTTGATGATCGTGCTACGTCTCATTCCAGAAAAGAACCATCAACGGGCAGCGACTTAGCGTACAGGCTCTTGCTTAGACCGGTAGTGAATTTCCCGAAAAATTCGGAGATGTAACGCGCTACCCATAGTAAGGGTATGATGTGAAGTAGAACAGGCCCAGTGTGGTAAACTTCGCCGGCCGAGGGTCAACCGAGCCCTTGGAGGAGCAGGCTTTATGGCGAACAGAAGTGTGGGGCGCCTATAGGTGGCGAGCGACCTTGCTGGGGCAATTAGCCCCAACGCTGTTCCACTAACATGAGAAATTACAACGCTGTGGCCAACGCGACGGCCGCTAACCATTGCTTCTGCGCCATGCGTGTCACACAGGCCAGCTGTTTTCTCTTCCGCGTGCTGCTCATCGCAGGTAAGTCACTTGTCGAGGAAACGCATCCCCTTGCGCTTTTGCGATTAATAAGAAACAGCCAATTGATAACAGAAAGGCGTTGTTTCTTTTTGGAGTAGCTGAAGGATGTACTAATATATAAATATATGACACTAAATAGTTTACAAGATGTACACTATTCTCTAATGGTACCGTACATTTTCGGCGCAGTTTCACTATTATGTGTTCGTAATGTAATTTCTATATCATTACAGGTCGTGACTATCTATGCTAATGTATGAAGCGATGGTTTAGGAAAAGTGCACAGCTCTGTATATTTCTTTTTTACAAAATGAGGTTGCAATCGGGAATGTTAAGCATGATTTATTCCTCCTATAAATTCTGCCACCATACCGGTGAGCTTCGCGAGCCGTTTTCTCGTCTCGGGACCCACGATAAGAGCGTTAATTTTGACAAATTTCGCAGCTAACAGAAACACCAGGTTATATTTTGCATAGAGTCTATAATATTTTATTTGTTTAAAGGTGCTTTAAAAATAATTGCACAGTCAACCCTAGGCAAATATTTGTCAGAAGTTTCCAGCAGTATTTTTTTCACGTAACATCTGTTATAACTGCACAACATTCCTTATGGCATTTGTCCTGACTCATATACGTTTGTTTAGGCGGATGCCAGTACACAAAAGCAAGCCGATTTTGCCTGTTTCAGACCATGTGCCTACATTTACTGAGAGCTAAATTTGTTAGAACTTCTACGTAAAGAGAGGGTCTTGTTACAATTAGTTCTTTCTTCCAAGGTGAAGCAGATGATGGACTTGCCATGTAAGCCGTCGCTATTGCCAATATAACTGTTTCAAAATGCATGAAGTCATGCACGTTCGTGAAGTTTACGTTTACATATGTCTTTCGTGAATCAAGGTAGACAACAAGGTAGTTTCGCTCTTAGAGGTAGACAACTCTACCTGCGAATTATTTTTGAACTAGTCATGTGTTTTTCTAAGGAAGCTAGCATTAGAAAAGTACAGAAGATAGCCAAAAATACCGCAGCTAGGCATACTTCGTCACAAATAAGCACCATTCGCGTGATAGCGCACCAACAACGTGTTTACCCTTTAAACTCCGGCAAATACTTCGGAGTGACCGGTCCTCTGAAGTAACGCTAAACATCAATATCAGACGAAACATGTGTATAAACACTATCATTATCACTTTCGTTCTCCTAAAACATCAGACCAACCGTTCTTGCAAGAAGTAATTGATCATCCAATAGATCTTAGATGCCATAGGATTCTTTGCTCTTGCCTGCTTCAACGCGAGTAATTAATCAATTGCATGCTCCGTAAACCTAGTGCTCTTCTGCGTTTGATGACTCTCGCGTCCTATGGTGTTGTTCTTCAAACGTAATGTTTATTCTGAAAATTCGACTAGCACTTCTTTCTTTCGCATATTGGGCCTTTCCAAACGTTTACTGTCCCAAGTACCTGCTATGGAGCAGTCCTTTTATAGGCTGAAGGCCATCTGAGCACGCCCATGTCTTCTAAAAGGCTGACTTTCTTGTGCGTTCCTTTTTCAAGCTAGCTTAGCCCTTCTGGTCGCTATCAAGGGTCTTTCACGGCAAAGCGTCGCACCTCATGCACGGCACCTGCCCCTCCTACTTGTTAGCTTACCGGCTTTGAACCTGTTATGCCCTAGTATTTTCTAGTTTTAAATTCCCCTAGTCTGAATGGTCAGACTTATTGATACAGTTTACATAAAAGCCCATTGTATTTTCAGTATATATATAATCCTATAATATATATATATATGTATATTATAGGATTATAAAAAAATCAATGAATCTACATATATTACATACTACACAAAATTCTCTTGACACTTTTTGTGCTCGGATTCGCTAGTCGTTCGGAATTGGCGGCCTTCAGAGCGCCCTTCAATGAATGTATTGCCAGTTTCCGTTGACGATTGTTATATCTTAATTATTATTAAAAATTAAATGTTTCGGTGAAAAATGCTAGCACTACCATATCTCAACATGGTACCATAATGAGATAACTAGACTAATCTACGTAGGCTTGAACCGGCAAAAAAGTGCGTTAATAAATTTCAATTAATCGAGATGTTCGAGCTCAAAAATGTCCTGTTCTTAGATTTAAATTCGTTCGTTTGTTGTATATTCAAAGCTGAGTGGGTCATCGTGGACATGTACGTCGCTGCTTTTCCGCCAGGTTATTGTTTGTTATATTTCTTGGTCATATACCCGAGTGCTCCTCGAATAGCCCAGTTAGGAAATTATTGTTATGCAAGAGAGAAATTCTGATTATTCAATAGTTTGCTAAGTTCAAGCTACGGTTAAGTATAATGGCTTAATGTGCTAGGGAGCGCAACGACCAAACGTCGGCCACGCCGTCCCTTATAGGCTCGGGTCGGTTAAGTGACGAATGTAAACGCGAGTCATTCTGAGTTGAAAGGACGCAAACCCAGAAGACAGATCCGAACTTTTCCACTTTGACCATATTCGTGCCTTTGCACTTCGTTCAAAATAATTTTTTACTGTTTTCTTTTTTTGCGACTTTACGAACGCCGCCTCTGGCCTCCAGCTCTTGCGCCCGGCCTCATCTGCCCGCATCTACCTTTTCTGCGCTGCACTTTCGAACAGCTTTTTGTATGCTTGTATATATAGCCTATTGGTAAATTTACAATGTCAAGACGAAGTAAGTCTACTCTGTCGCCTATGCTACACTTCGATGCGTTTCAGTCTACATCTAGGTGTTCATCAGCATCGTATAGCTCGTGCTTAGAAAAATACGACATGGTTGTAATGACCTCTCTGAGGTGTGGGACCCGCAAAGTTATTTTTGGAAGTTGTAGTCTACCAAACTCGTTCACTCGAAATGTGTGCGTTTTCAGCTTTATTTTATGTTTTGTGCCTTTTTCAGCGGTAATACTGAGTAGCTCAGTTTGCCACCAGGGAGTCGTCTTCGCGGAGGAAGAGTGCATTAGTGAGTATTATGCCTGCTGCTATCTTAACTTTCTAATCCATGTTCCGTATGTCATCCTTCGAAATTATATTGGCATCGACGAGATACGAAAGTAACTAAACGCGTATATACTTGCTGAATATGTCTATTACAGATAAAGGAATTTTATGTTACACTTGTGATTCGACTCAGGATCCGAAGTGCTCCGATCCTTGGAACTATACAGACATATATGACATCGGAATACCTATTGAAACCTGTATGGGGTACGTGCAAGCTTTCTAACGAATGGCTGATAAATGACTTTTATTAGCATTACAAGGCCTATCTTTATTATTCTGTTTCTCTTTATTTCATACGTAGAGGAAAGTTGATACAAGTAAACATGCAGCTGTACAGCTTCATCAACCGGAAGTAAGTCTATGGTACCTTCTGCTAATTGCAAACTCAGGTTTTATCCAACTTCCGCGTGAAATAGTTCTCCAGTTCGAACTGCTGCCTTCGATTGTTGAGTCTGTTCTGCCTTTATTATGTGTTCTGTGCCCATTTACATCATTTATAGGTGCTGTGTAAAAATTGTCACGTACAATACGACGAGTGGTAGCGGCGGTCCGGGTGGGCGTCCACAGCGACTAACCAATGTTAAGCGAACATGTACTACGACGCTACAGATCAATCTGTTTCTCGTCGATCACGTCTGCATGCATGAGAGCGACGGCAATGGCCACATGTGCTTCTGTGAAAGTGACATGTGTAACGCGGCTCCACCCTCAACGCCACTTCTACTCGGTTTTCGTCCAGGCCAACCTTACGGTGGCAACAACGGCCGCTTCCAAAGTTTCCTACAAATAGTCATTGCCTGTTTGATGGTGCTAAGGTTGCACGCCCGCCTCGCTAGTTACTTACTAGGACTTAACAGTACTAATATGGCCCGAAGTCCTGCAAGTACTAGTACTACTGTCGCCATTATTATCGTCAAGATCAAGGCCGCTGAGGCTATCGGAGGTGAAGCAAGGCAGCTCATCCGTCGGACGATACTTGCCTCGTCGTCAACAATGTTGCATCTGCAACCACAGCTACCTAACGCGTTGTGCGTAATTACAATACGATGTACACCACCTGCAGATAAAGGCAGTTCTGCTACGACCGACGCAGACTGGGGCAGATTCAGCGTCAAGGCCAACAATGCTGGTAACGTTCAAGAGAGAAACGTAGACGGCAGCTGCATCAACAACATCTACAACAACAATGCTAGCAAGGATATGTTAAAAAGCAGCAGCAGCAGCAGTCGAACTGGAACGTCTGTTTCGCCGACTGTTCGCTGTTTTTTCTGTTCAAGAACTGCAACTTCAGTAGTTAGCTATCAAATGCTATTCGCGTCGCAAAAAATCGCTAATCGCGCACCTTCTAAGGGCCGTTTGGGCCTAACCATTAGTGCTTCTCGATTCACAATAGATAGCGCTGGAGCACATTATCCCCTTAGTAACAAAAAGGGGGGTGACGAGAACTATATACATAATGCTAATTATATTAGTAGCACTATTCCTCTTGTTATTGCTTTAGCACAGTTTATTAACAAGGATATTATGACTGGGACTCATGCGAATCGTGCAGCTCAATTGACAATAAGGTCAGCAGCAAATTGTGTATTTTGCCAAAGAGGCTTCGCCGTATGCGGCCACGGTGTTGGCAGAGGCCTTCATCGTGACCAAAGCAAAGGTGGCTGGCGGAGGTTGCCGTCAGAAGAGCTCAGGCGGGACTTCCGTAAAGCATTTCGAATCAGTATCGGACAAATGATCAGTAGGAGAAAAGGCGAATTTGCTGAAAAAATAAGTTCCTTATTCAAGGGCGATAACTTACAGGTATCTAATGAGAACTGGAAAATGTATTTACTTCAAATAAGTTTCGACAAGAATCGCTTCAGAACAGTTATTACTGTTGCTGTAGTTGCTCAAATAAGTTACAGACGTGAAGAAAAAACCAGGCCAATCATAGCATCGGTAATAGGAGGGTAAGAACGGCTGACGCTCAAAAGCATGGTAGCACAAGAAGCTGCTGTAATGAACAGGACATCTCACTGTCACAGCCACTATGTCAGCGTCAATAATACCAAGCGCACAAACGAGCCGGATCTAAGAAGCAACGGCGTATGTCAGCCATCAATGGCGTTAGAGATGAAGACTCTTTGTCGACAGCGACTACCCTCCTTCCCCCGCCCGCCCGCCCGCCGCCCCAACCCACGACACCACGTCCAGTACAGCACTCAGCAGCATCCATCACATCAGGGCGTTTCCTGCGGGGTAGGTGACAGTGGTGGCGGTAATAATACCCTTCTTATTACGAACTATCGTGAAGATAGGCATACGCCGTTAAGCGTTGTCGTACCTGGCTCATTATGAAAGCCTCATCCCGAAACCCGGCAGCCTTCGCTCGACAACGTTCATGGTTGTGCTGTACAAACACGGAAGCTATCGCCGTCATCATCGTTACCATCATCGCCGTTGTTATTATTATTATTATTATTATGAAAAATTTCAACTGCAACAATGTTAGTATGCGTGGGATTATCGCTAAGACCGTTGCTATCTGTAGCATTATGTTCATCTTCCTTGGCCAAATCTCACTTAATAGAAAACTGCTTTCCACCACCTGCCTTTACTACAGCCACAACAGATAACGACTGCTTCTATTATAATAATAATATTTAACATAGTTTAGCTTCTAGGACAACTAGAATTGAAGAAGTGTAAGTCGCTGGTAAGACGATTGCCATAAATACAGTAAATGGAACGGTTAAAATTATAGCCAGCGATATTGATGATACGAACCCGAGCCATGGTTGTTACAACATATGATAAAGGCAATATGCATTCTTCTTGCTACCCATGAAACATTTACGATTGATACAAGGGCCATTATTGTTGCGGGCGAACTAGCGAGAGGATCAACAGAAACAGGGCACTAGTGAAACAGCTACCGTCAGATATGACCGCGGGAATCACCAGCGGACCAGCAAATTGAATGCTTAGTACATGAATTAGCGATATCCATCATCACTAATTCATGTACTGTTCATTCAACGCTGCGACGACAATGGACCGGGCGCGTCCAACGGCGATGACGCTACCTATTAACCCAGGTCCTGCCCCCTGAAGATCCTAGAAAAGCGGGAACAGTGAATACTATAACAGGCAATACGAGGTGCGCATGCTCAAACGTCTTCTGATGCTGACGTTCGTTATTATCGATATTTATGTGTAGCAAGTAGAAAGCTGTTGTTCGAATCGAAGATTTTGTGAGCGGTACCCGTCAGAACCAGCAATCACTGACGGAATCTACTACTGATGAAGAGTCTATAGCACTGACACACACGTCCACCCACACAAAAAACAGCCGATACATAGACTAACCTATAACCGTACGAAGATCAATAGAACTACGGAGAACGAAATATCTGTTAGGGCTCCACTCTTCGCATTGACTGCAAATGAGCAATGACGAAGTGCATGATTGCATGAGATGTCGATGAACCACCAAATCGATTGGATGTCAAGTTCAGACGTTGAATAACACTCCTAGTTCTATGAGTTGTACCAATGCTGGTTGACGTTTCCTTTATTATCACTCCTGCGGATGTGTTTGTATGATAACGGTCAAGTGACAAATAACCGTAGCGGCGGATGAGCTGAAACTCCCAACGGAAACAGGGAAAACCTGCAAGGGATCCAAAAAGATCCGAATCACGGCTGTGTGTGTGTGTGTGCGCCCCGCTCTGCGTACGTATGGCGGTAATGATGACGTTGATAAGCACTCGAATTCTAATAATTACCGTTATGATAATATTATTTTTTTATCAATCACGGCGAAATAATGGTGGTCGTGAGCACGTGTTCGTGCGAATGAGTAGTTTCTAATAAACACGAGGTGTTTGTCGGGCGCCTTAGGGTTACTGCTATAGTTATCGACGTCTGCGTAGTAGTCGAGATTATACAGTAATCATAAATGAATATATGTGTTCAACGGAACACTGAGAAAATAAAAAAAAAAAATAAACGAAGCTTGACAGATCGAATAAACGTAGTTTCTTTCGGCGCCATGCAATGAAGATGAAGCTATGGCAATCAGCGATGGCACTCTGATCTTCTAGATGGGCTGCTGTAGTTCCCAATCGGAGAAGAGTGGGCAAAAACGATTATTGCCATTACCCCTGCTAGTACTATTACCGTTACTGCCAACAGAGAAATGATGCTGATAGTTACATCGTAATGACGATTGCGTCGTATACAGGTATAACCTGGCGCCTTGTTATATAGACGTTTTATATGCTAGTATATATATGGTGGCCTATAAAGTGTCTGACTGATAAGGTACCACTCCACTCTCGAAGAAAAAGCAGAAATTGAGATTCACTCTTTATCTATCTAACATTACCTAATCGTACGAACTACGAAGCAAGAAACGTATGATAGTAGCGGTGTTGAAAGCAAACACTGGGGTGTCGCTGCTGCTAATGGTGGTAAATAGGGTGTGACATGATAATTGTATAATGGTGATGTCATTGGACAGCTTCCAATGGACATGATAGGACCGTTCCTGTGATGATTCGAGATCGTGTAAGGGAACAGGCCAGTGAATGAGTTCGTCTGCGATTGTCTATAATTAGCTTAGCCAATTGTTGTTCAGCGTAGTCTGCTGTACCATTACCGTTGTGATAAGAGTAGCACTTGTTTAAATAATAACGTTCATTTTAGGCAGCCATGGCTCAGCCAATCGCATACAAATGTTTATTTATATTTTTTGGTTATTCTATATAGAGTAAACCTATCTATTCCTATTTTAGGCCTGCAGATTGCCTATGAATTAGCCCGACAGTGCTGTGCTCGAAAAACGAAGTTTGTCAATGACGCAACGTGTGTAACTAGGGGGAAGCTTCATAACAACATATAGGGCTAAAAGACACGTCTCATGAAGTGATATGTGTACAGGTACTCCGCTGCAAATTTGCGAAAATATAGTAATCAATATCAATGGTAGAAAAAACGTTAATGCGGTGTTGCATATTGCATTGCTGATGGTTCACCTCACTAATAGGTAGACGATTGTTTTAAGTATAAGGATAAGTGCTGCACCTGGGTTAGGTGCACATTTGGCGATCTTAACATCACTCTGGGGTTCGTCGTCACGGATCGAGAACTGACATAACGAGAACGGTGACCAATGTTGTTTTAGGTACCGCGGGGTCAAGCGTAACTTTCTAATGTCACATCTCACGCTTACGTGACTATGAGTCTTCGACGACAATGTTTAGGTCGAGACTCTAGAAATTGTAATTACCTTCAACGCGAGACATTATTGAGAAGATTTTTCGAAAAGTGCGAATTGTTTTTACTGTCATACGCATTGTCAATAGATTAACCGCGAGTAGTTTCATGGCATTTTGATGGCAGACCTGCAACCCGACACAGATTGCTCATGGCAGATTCTCTTTCATCAGAACGAAGGTTAATGAATTCCAAAAAAAGGTGTAAAATTGAGATTTGCTATTAATTAGAGGAATGAAATCCAGAAAGCAGAAAGGTGCCGCTTTGATGACCGGCACTACTCTCCCGTAATGACGTACGATGGTCATACAGCTTCGTATTGGCGCGCAAGGTCAGTGGCTTGTTGATGGCAATCTGCAACCCCGTAGATCTCTCGCTTATTAGTGATGCTGGCTTCTAGTTCAACGGTAATAAGTTACTATCGCTGAAAATGATAATTGTTGGATGAGGAACTTCTTCCTGTGGCGACCTCAAAGCTGTCGAGGCTAACGGATACCCCGAATTAAACTTGCCTAATACGTCCATTTACTCTCTCTCTGGTATCTCTGGCATCTCTGGTACAAATCACTCTCACAACTCCTACACAAATGCTTCATTATATTTAACGCAAATAAATACACCGAGTCATAAACAGCGTCCCTTGGCGTTTTCTCTCTCTCCTAAAAATGGTCGTTACAAGGAGCCCACATGCTGTACAGAGGTTATATTCTTTAAGAGTGCACCACAAATGATACCGCCAAAATCTACATATGTTATAACAATGATACCATTGATTTCAGATAGAAATAACCTCTTGTATTGCAGGGCGTTCAATAATAAACTTCAAGTGCAAACCATCACATGATAACACCAAAAGTAATTATTATTGTGTGAAGAAAAGGCTAGTAATTATATGTAGGACGAGAAAAAGGTAACTGATTGTGTACATGTTGTGATCCTGTTGAGGGGCAGCTTGTCTCGATTTAGTGATAGAATATGTAAACTTTTTCAGTTGTGTAGAGTAAGGATTCTCACATATAGTAGACCTGACATTGTCAAGGTCTACCAAGGCTGGAGATTACTATAACCCCGAGCGGAAAGCTGTTGCATTGTTGTGCGAACGGCTTGTAAAAAAGGTGTACAATAGATGTAATGATAATGTTTCTGAAGCGTTTATTGTACGGGAAACTGCACACAGAGATCAGGACACTGGATAACCCGGCGATATAAGCAGCAGGGAAAAATGTAAATTCATTCAAACATGATTCACAAAAGGCAGACGGAATAAAAGTATGCATGTATCTGTAAAAGCAGGTAGTTCCACGCTGACGAAAACATCAAAAAAAAAAAATGTTCTTTATTACTGCGAGTCAACATAGAAAGGATTATGTCTGCCTCGATGAGCTGAACACGGAAGTTCCCTTTATTTAAATCCACATAACGAATAGACCCATCCTCATGAGGTGCCACCTGCCATACCTGCTCTCTATACATCTGTACCCAGCTCAACTCGTTGCAGACAGAGGCTCTGCCGGCGGATCGTTCGCTCGTTGGACGCAAATGAAAGAAAAAGCAATGTGTCCTGGTAACACATAGATCGTGCCTACAATTCATATACATACAGCGTCAAGGCCAAGATTATTGAGAGAGAGAGAGAGAGAGAGAGAGAGAGAGAACGATGGCCGTGGCGGCAGTGGTGTTGACACAATGGCCAACGGGTATGACGATGATAATGGTGACGACGATGACGGCGATTATGCGAACGAGATACTGTTTTCCATAATGAATAATCCTGCTTGTGTATTATTACCATTACTGCTATTTTTGCTATTAATAGTTGTAGCCCGATCATTTCTGCTACTAACCTGTGTAAACTCATTAATGATAATGATGATTTTTGGCTGTACACATGAGGTAGGATGCGGTAATGATCAAGTAATCTGCTCAAGTTAGAAAACACAAGAACGAACACCTGTATGATGTTATACACGCAACATTTCTTCATATTGGTGCGTAGAATGGCTATCTTACGACTGTTTAGTATGATCACAATGTTGAATAAGAGATGCTAGTCTACAATCGGCGTACATGACATTAATTGTCTGGATGCACGTACGTGCGCGACACGATATATCCGATTGATAGCTAGCTACGACTAATCCAGTTGAAAAGCTTTTTCGGTTTATTTAATCATCATCTTCATCGTAAGAGTGAAATATTTGTTACAGTTGATAGTAACAGCGTTCGAGAATGACTGCAAGAGCTTAGTTGTGTTCCAGCTCTGCTTAATGAATTAACTTACTATCAAAATAAACATAAATAAGAAATGACTGGCTAATTTATTTCAACTATACTAATAGACATAAGCATAGCGTGATGTAAGCCAGAGGAGAACTGATATTAGTCTTTAGATGTCTAATTATGGCTGCCGGTACACATGAGAAGCCGCTAAGCATGTTATACAATGCTGAGGGAGCGGACTAGGAGGTTCTTTCTGCATAACCAGAGAGCGTCGTGGATACATTATTATTGCTATCATTATTATCATTACAATACAGCAGGACAAGGGAGAGCGTCCTACCTCATAAGAGGACACATCACAGCGATCAGGTTTGCAGATTGGCCATTCAAAGAATGCTTTTTGTAGGACTGCTAAGAGACGGGGAAGCATACGGCATATTGACTTGGTTAAAATAAGCGTAACACACTTTAAAAACACGCAGTATTTGAATGAAATGAATATATTCAGCTAAAATCTGGAGTGAAGTGGCGTAGCACTCCTAGACTTAACAGCATTTAGACGTATGAAGCCGCGTGCAGTCTCTCAGTTCTAAAGTAAACGCTAGAAATAGAAGTAAACTTTGGTGATTAGGAGATCTTACGGCTGGCCCGATGACAAAGAGATCGTTGCCTGTGTCTAACTCGATCCAAGGCAGTGGTACGTGTAGGGTCTACGTCAAGGGCAGGTCCAGTAAAGTGTGTGCTAAGTGGATAAATTTGGTAATTACCTTAAGAACATCAACTCGTCTGGTTATCCAACTTCGGTAAAATGCTGACCAGGTTTTACCCGGGTCCCAGTTAGCTCTCGTATGATAGCTGCTACTAATACAGTTGACTTCGCTCTAAACTTTCCCTATATTAGTGTATTGTACAGAACGATGAATAGTATGTAAATAATACATCGTTATGTTTAAAAACAATGTTAATTAAACCAAGAATGGAAAATTGTAACTATAACATTGCACCAAATTCAATACATTGGCGGAACGTACTGCGTTGCGATATAAACGATGGCCAAACAACTTCGTAATAGTTACTATAGCAGATAAGCAGAAATGACGTAAGGTAAGTGAAGGAAAGCAAATCTCGATATAGTCTTTATGCCGTTTCCTCCTTCTTTCAAGCACGGCTATTATAAAAATAAGAATATTTGTTAATAAGAAAATTCGGATACAAGGAAAAACTCATCTCTGCGATGATATATAGTCCTTTATTATAATCTAATAGAATGTTTATTAACGATGTCGGGAGCTGAATGAACCCGATACATTTTTCAGCGAATGCCACACATTGAAAGGTGATCTAACTAGGATCAAGATTCAAGGTCCAAGCAAGGATCAAGATGAACGTGCCGCAGTCGAAGGCACTAGACCTTCGTAAGAGGTTCAAGAGCTTTGGCTTTATGGTCCCCTACCATGAATAGAGCTGTCCACCGATACATTGGAACAACGTATATAATTATCTTGTATTCCTTGAATTTCGGTACTATAAATCAGATCACATGTTTATTACGTTAGTTGCGTTACTTCGTATCGCAGCTTTTTTTTTTTTTTTTTTTACTACCTTACATTTAGCCAAATGGAAACTAAATCGTTCTGCCTTGCTACGTAATCACACGCTACGCGTTAATATGATATCATATAAATTGATATATATATATATATGTATCAATTCATATGATAGATATATTACAGTATACGATGCGAGAGACGTTTACCAGTTTCCCTTTGGAATCTCGTAGTCGATCCGGGTGAAACGTACGTGAGAACACGGATTGTGCCAGACGTCGAAGTAGCATTCAAAGCGAGCTTCCGTTAAACGATTTCAATTTGCGTGTAATTTTGTTACGTAAAAACACTTTTACACTTCAGATAGCTCGCCGGAGTAAGTGGAGCTAACTTTCAAGAACAAGCTTGCGAAACAACTGGTATTTTTTCGGCCAAACTGTTCACGTCTCAGGCGCCGAAGAGAACGTTACCGGAAGATGATTCTGATAATGATGATGGTGGTGATAGGGTGGGGTCGATTGGTGAAACCTCACATTAAAAGCTAGTTGGGTCAGAAAACGACTAACAACTTCCATTTATTAATTGATAATATTCAGGATTTTTCCATCAAAAGGAGAACTTTTCAAAGCTGGGCAATTATCAATACTCGCAGTGTATTTCAAATGGGATATATTGTTTGTTGACTGTTCCTTGTAATAGAATAGGTTATTAATGCGGCACCGTTCCAAATCAGTGCTGACACAAAACTCAACGAAGTGTAGCTCGGTCATTATCATAACTCTATAGACAAATGTCACTCCGTATTTATTGGATCCGCGCACTTCCTGCATTTTTCCACTGGGTACTAGAAAAAGACTTAGCTTAGTAAGCGTCTAATTACGCTGACAACATTTACTAGTTTTGCCGAGGAACATTGTGTTGCCGTACCACCCACAGGTTTTGTCCAGAATAAAAATCTCCGACTTGGTCGTATCCCCTCTGAAGCAGTGGGTAGAAGATAACACTGCGTAGGAAACGCTTAACATATAACCATCGCGCGTGCTAGGCAAAATAGAAGTAAGCCAAAGTCGGTGACGCATCCAATATAGTTAGCTAGTTAAACTTGCTATATGCGTGCATTGTACACAAATGTTGGCTGCCACCACACGACCGAACTGCTCATCTCGAGAAGGAATCGAAATTGTTTAGCCAATATTTCCTAATAATCATAATAGGCTAGATAGGATTTAGGCCATTTGACGCTATAATCACCCCCTATACTTTTCCAATGGGAAGCTGACGACGATGACGAAAAGTAAAAGAAACCTGCTAGATGATTAAGGTCTCACTCAAAGTCATTTTAAAGCGCGCATAATTAACACTACTCCAAATATACAATAACAAAGAAAAGAAGAATGAAAAAACAAAACAAACAAAATAAGTAAATAACAATGTTATTAAACACTTACTAGCAAACTCAGAAAAGCAGATATTTCTTTTTACTAATTATTGTTTACCATCTAAGTGCAATAAATAGCTTTTATTAGGACAAACAAATAAAAACAATTGTTATTAAAGACCGCGAGTGTTTATTTCAGTAGGTAAGGCAAGTTTATGACACAGATACGCACTTTCAAGTTTTGAGCTAAATGAACGATTCAAATTTGGCGCCCGGTTTTACTGTTAAATGTTGCACACGGCTAGCGATCTCTTCCAGTACGGAATGAGCCCTCGTGTGACTGCGTGACACTTTGTGTCTTTAAAACCGTGTTAGTAATAGACGTACACTTTTCTACCACTGCATTATCTTACGAGCGGACCTATACGCCTTGCCGTGACCCCTAAATGTTTACCACAGTCCTGTACGTATTAGGTAGAATAATGCATAATTAGCGTTTTACTGCAGTTCGCGACTCACATTCTTATACTATTCATAGTATTTGCGGCAAATGTGGAATATTCTGAGAGAGTCTACTCTACTGTGACTAAGTTGTACAACGCGTCACAAGATAAAGGTAGCGCAGTTCTTCGAGGTCACTTTTATTTGGCTTATCTATGGCGGGCTGCTTCTTAAAACGTTAAAATACAGCGCAATCTACTTTATAACACATATCAGTACATACTACGAAGGGAACAAGAGTCGCCGAGGGCGAAACACGCTAATTTCTTTAATAGAACATAATGACTACCAGAGTTATGGCAAAGGCGGGGTGGACGTCTAAGATCATGGGGTGATGATATGAAATAATGCTAAGCTTAAAAACATGTGAGGTAGTCTAGGCTCGGATTCGTTTAAGTGCGCTAGGGCGAAAGGAATGGTTTCGAAAAGTAGCCGAAGCATTTCTTCTAAAGAGCCATTACTTTTTACAAATATATCACCAAGTATACGATGTTCGTAACCAAATACGGATTCGTACACTGTATGACTATTTTTGGTCTGTAAAGTCCGCCATTTTTATTAAAAATATCCATTATATTGTAGCAATAAGCTTACCATAACGAAGCTGTACTGCAATTGTGATGCTCGCTTGGATTGAAATCATTGGAACTGTTTACGACTAATTTACGACCACTTTTATGTTGTCATGCCCTCTCTGGGTTTCTTTGAAAGGCATTTTTAGTAATAGCTTCACATAATCCAGCTACAGGCATAATTGTCTGAAACGTCACCAGGTGTCTTCTGTACAGCCCGGAGCGCCTCATGCTGTAGCTGTAGAATCCTGAAGAAGTAGCGTATACGTTGTTGAAACTGGAAATGTCTTCAATGTCTTTCCTCGAAAACTATATTAATAATTTTATGCCTCCAGTGAATGAATCACATGCTTCATCTCCTGATTAAAATTTCATTTCGCATATCGATGGTGCTGTCTGCATACGACATAAGCCGCATGCGAGACTTGAAAGTTTCACTAGCAGCCGATTTCGAAAATAACAATTACGTAGAGAAAAAACGATTGGGAGCAGGAATCATGCCAGCTTATAATATGGGCAATAGCAAGCTTCGACCATTATGGGCGAATACAATGATACTATATCAGCTTTGTTTTTGGCAAATTCTCAAGATGCTTATGTTTTAAGTTAAAAATTGAGAATCTATTGGATCTAAACGGGACTTCCACTTTGCGCAGATATAGATAATGATTTGATCCCATAGCGAACTATATTCTAGCTCTCTAATACCGTAAATTCACATGCGACCGTAAAGGGATTCTTTTAGAAGCGAATTCCATATTATTATTATCATATTTTATACCTAGTAAAAGCAACCTTCTGACGATTTTCTAGATTCTTCCCCCCCCCCCCCCCCCTGTTTCATGGTTTAAAAACCTTACCAGACGAGCATTAACCTACGTGGACTGCCAAGCAGCAACATTGTCCACCAGATTTCCCAGGTTGAGAGCTCGCCGCTTGTTGCATTGGGCTTCGCATTGTCATGGAGCAAAATTTCTCTAGATGAAAATCTGCTTGGATTCTAAGCCTTAACTTCCTTTCTAAGGATAATTTTTTCGATCCTTGGCTCATGTTGGCCTACAGACACCATTGCTCATCACATAAAACACCTACTTTGGAGAGTACACCCGATATAAAATGCCTTTCGATCTTATAGCTGTTTAAAAGAGCAGAGTTTCTACTTGAACCATTTCACACGAAGCCGTAACAAATATCAAAATAGCAGCCAGCTTTTTTAGTAGCAACAACTGATAATTGACGAAATAGAATGATCGTCATCTGCACTAGATCTGCGTTGCGTTTTCAGGTATGCTTTTAATGCCAAATGATCCTTTAGGTGACGTTTTTCATAAATTTTTACAAAAAAATTACATTTTTTAATTAGTCCTCGAATACTACGCTGAAGCAAAAAACGTTGCCATTACAAATAATATAAATTCAGCACAAGTTAGCTAACATGCTGCAATGTCTATATTGTCGGTGGTTGGTTCTTAGTTGCTGTTAGCAATCCATAAGCTCCCAGCCTAATAGTGGGACTTAATGAAAGAAATATACATTTTTGCTCCACGCTGTAATTCTCCGTGACGGGTTTGCGCATCTTGCTATGCCCACTGGGGGAAAGGATGACCTGTCGTGAATTTCTACCCCATTCCCAATGATTCATAACACCTTAGTATGATCGAGCGTTATAGATCCAGTTAATCATTGATAACTGTGGAAGCTCGAAGTGAAGCTCTTATTCGGTGCTACAGCGTTACCGCAACAGTGACACCCTCAATAAGTCATCACAAAACAAAGACGAACTACAGGACCGCACACTTCATTAATCACTTGGATCTATTTTTTCTACGTCTACGTAAAATTCCCAATATATTCATCATGAGTTTTTCTCTTTATATAAATGTACTGTGAAAAATGAAATAAGCTTGAAGTAGTGTTAAAACATGCCTATAAAAACGCGCAGCACTGTCGCGTTCAAAGCTGTAAATCAAGACAACTTCGTGCCAGAAGCAATTTCAGTGGGATTACCTATTAGGTAGAAACTCACGACTTGTGTGAGGATAAGTTTTATATGGGAGGCAAAAAATGTACAGGTAAGCAGGCCTTATGGAAAAGCCTGCGTTATTTGACGTAAATTTTATCTTCAACTCTTTACTCATTGAAGAGATGTGTGTTGCTTTTTAGAAGTTTGCCTGGGCGGTGGAAGTTAGTTAAGTTACTTCCGTTTCATTTTGAAAGTCCGTTCTTCACACTCCCGAATTATATAGAAATAAATAAAAGGCGAAAACATATTTGGAGCAGCCTCGCACTCCAATTCACACTAGGGCCGGCCAACGCGTGATGAACTTGCGATAACTATAGTACGGCCATGTCGTTAAACAGAATTGGTTCCGGAGTTTCCAATTGATACCCTTATTAGTTGCCTGCCCGCACAAATATATGGCCACATTAATGGCTCGTCTATAGGTCGTAGGTATTGGCAGTAATCTTCCAAATAGATCAGACGCCACCGCTGTAACGGAAAAGTCTGCAAGAGTGACAAGAAATCTCATTTATCATTGTCGCTCCATGCCGATAGACATAACCACCACGGGCATGATCCGCAATGTCATCTGTTGTTGGCTGTGCCTTCCTGCGCATGCGAATCCTTACTACACCCAACAAAAGCATCCAGATATCGTTTAGGAGGTGTTCCAGTGGGCTTTCTAGCAGAATCTGTATAATATCTGCCAATAATTGTCCTAACGGATGAGTTACTAAATTCATCAATATTTCCACCAACACATCTTCCGACAATCCTTCCAAGGACCGCCACACGATCATTCCTGAATGAAACTCTCACCGTAGTTTCCAACTGCATCGCAATCATATCTTAAATAGCTTCGTAGACGGCAACAAGCAAGAATTAAATTTTTCCCCCTAAAATTGTCTTCCTTTATAGGGCATACAGTTTCACAAATTCTACTGCTATGTGTTTATTTTATACCGTAAAATGCACACCGAAAAGGTCCAGTTAAGGTTATTTACTGTGATTAGTACCTCGTAATATTGAATAACGATTCACATTGACTTCCGTGAGGTAATTATCTAGGCATGATCACACATGACCAAGAGTCTCTTGGTGTCGTCATTTGTCATGACATTAAGATTTAGTGCTTTGTGAGTTCTCTAAAACATACGTACAACTGTTAAAAAACAATGGTACTGACAATGGTAATTACTGATGTGTCTACTTTTCTATGAGAAATAACGAGGCATATTGCCCTAGAAACCAAAGAGGCGCAAGCCGAACTCACGTAACAAAATCCATGATCCATGCGTCTTGAAGCACTTACGAGGGATTAAGTTCAACTCGATCGAATATATATGATATTAAAAAGCTTCGCATTGATGCTCGTTGCCCCACTAGAACTTGCGTCTTACCACGGACTCCCTGCAGTTCTCCTATTGGATTGACAGAGAATTATTGTTTAAAAATGCGCCTAATTAAATTCGAATTTGTGAAGACTATTTACACTTCAATGTTTCCGTAGACATTGCCTGGACGTAATTAAGGAAGAACTCTTAGTCCGGGCCACCAGCGGAGGTGTTTCGTCTATGAACAACCTTGTGCAAGCTCTACCCTTATACAGATAGACAGGCTGAATATTGTAGACCCTTCTGGTTGGGTGCCGACAGCGAGGCATCCTTTCAGCACTTCTAGCATATAGAGCTGTGCGAATCAGACCCAGAAAGAGCGAAAGCCGCAGCTTTTATTTCAAGGGAATGAAAAACAAAGTACCTCATATAGTTCTGATATGTTTGAAGTATTTTCCTATACTTAGCCACGATTTATCTAGGGAAAGGAAATCAGCTTGGTAAAATTTTGCATAAATGACCTTGGTCTTGTTAACAAGCTAGTTGGTAACGTAACTAACCATTGCTCAGGAGTGTACTGCGTGTAAAGTTGTACACTTCTATATAATTCTCGTACCGAGTGTAAGCCTTTAGCCCAGCGTAGGTTTCT